GGGAGGGGAGGGGAGTGTAATTGTGGGTGGAAAAGGACTCTTATTAGGAAGAGAGAATGGTAAAGTTTTACCTGGTGAATGGTGGCTAACTGCAGATAACCGGGACTTAAATTAAGCAAACAACAACCACAACAGCAAAAAGGATATAGCCAAACAGAAATCCTAATGGGTAGAATGATATTTCAGCACATGCATTTCAAAACTTTGTACATTCTCAGTTGTCCTTTATAAACAACTAGATAAAAATTACCAAAATTTGTGCGGTCTGAGAACAGAAATCCCAACAGCAAATTGTTCATGTTTCCATTACGAATTCAACACTGCTCATGTAGGTTACACTTAAGTTGAGGTGCAGCATCCTGAGAGATGGTTAACACATCCAGCCATTCACAAAATTCTTAATAAAAATTTTAATTGATTTTTTAATGTCTCCCTCAGGGATGCTGTCCTGACACCTCAGGGTCTGTAATAAGATATACAGACTATGCAATGCCTTGCCTTTTTTTTCTATTCAAGATGCATCCTTAAGAAGTTAGTTGCAAGCTTACAGAATATCTTATGACCTATTGCAATGACCTAATATTCAACACCTTTGACATCAACATCATTCTAGAGTGTTGGTTTATGATATCAATTAATATCACTATGATGAAACATAACATGCAAAAAATAAATATTTTTTTATGAGAAAAGGATACAACTTCAAATTCCCATGGATCTTCTGCACAGTTCTGTTATTTCAAAAAAGTAAATGATTCATATTAAAACTTTTCAAATGGACATCTAGAATATACCAACTAATAGGGAAATATCTTTTAACAACAAACTCATTTAAATAAACAGGGTAATTTATCAAATGAGTTGATGACGTAAATTGGCCACTTCAAAGAGTTTCAAAGCTGACATTTGGAGTGTCAGCCCTTTTCTCGTTTGCTCTGACAAGGGGCTATACTCCAAACTTCAGCTTTGAAACTCTTTATGGTGGTCAATTAATGATAACAACTCAGTTGATAATACTAAATTACCCTGTTAAACCTCCCCACCGATGCAGCACCACAGTTTCTTTAGAAACTTACCCCCTTTATTCATTTAAACAAATACTTTTTAAGCTGGAAACAAAAGTATAGAGTAGATTGGGTGTCTTGGTCATGTTCAGACTTTGATGAACCCTACTGACATTCAAAAACAACAAAAACTGATCGTAAGACAGTGAGGCAAACTGAACACTTCAGTGCTCGACACTCACCTTGTAGACCTGACATGCTGTAAAACATACTTCCAAACATCCACCATTGCTCCACGGCATAACCTGTAGAAGTTTTGTAAATTATATTTAGCCAGCACTATTTAACCCTTTAACTCCCATGAGTGACCAAGACAGAATTTCTCCTTACAATATCAATACAATATCAAGCAGACAAGTGATGAGAATAAAGAAAAATTTTAATGAGGGGATTATTAGTTGATTCAATACCAGATTCCTCAAACTAACATCACAAAAACTATGTGGCAGATAGAAGGGAGAATCACTAATGAGATCTTGGGAGTCAAAGGGTTTACAGGTTTACAATACACTTTTAAGACAACAAGCTTGGTTTAAAACCCACATCTGTCTGCTACCAACAACAGTTTCTCTTTCATCACAGGTATAATAACTCATTAATTCTTAAACCCCTCGGAGTGACTGGATTCAAATTTCTTCTTAAAGTATCACCTCTGAAACAAAAGTTGAGGCCACGAGAATAAAGGAGATGATCATTGATTTTGGAAGCTCCTGATTTTCTAACAGATTCTCTTTGTGAGTACTAGAGGAAATGTAAAGGGAACAGTGTGGAGAATAACAATACCGACATTACGGTGTAAAGGGTCTGTGTAACTTGTTGGAAAGAGTAAATCGACTAAAACTTCACCCGGAGAATTGTGCGTAGTACACGGATAATTCTCATCTCCAATGCCACGCATATACCACAGATTACTACTGCAAACACACCGATGGGTAACTGTTCATCACCCATCGAATTTCCTCGATCTAGACCCACTAGAAATAAAAATGTGTAAATCTCGAATGCATCATAAGATTTTTAATCGAAACTTACATCTTGAAGTCGTCCTTTGATGGTACACTTGCATTGACGTGTCGTCCTTGAGGTCGAAATCGCATTTCGTCCAATGCCCAGGTTCGTAGTTGTTCAGCCAGGTCTCGATCTCTCTCCATTTTGACAAAGTGAAAAATAATATAAATGTTTGCTGGGGTTTTTAACGCAAATTAATCCTTCCTTGTTAGTTAATTTCCAGAGTAGGAATCTTGGCCATTTTGCATTTTGGCGGGATGATCACTTGTTACCAGGTTTCGCAGGCCGAGAGGACTTAAGCCAATTAACAATTAGTTCCTACGTCAGCGTGCGTTCATCGAGATATGAAGCATGCGGGAAGTTTGGAGAGCACGAAAGATGCGTAAAGGCCTATTTACACGGCACGACTTTGTCGCATGCGACAAAGTCGTACCGTGTAAATAGGCCCTAAGAGTTGCTCGAGGCGTAGCCGGGAGCAACTCTAGCTTCTTAAGTGCTCTCCTACTTCCCAAGAGCTTCATATCTCGATGAACGCACAGCTGACGTATGAAGCAATTGTTTTATAACATTTTCAACCCGATGAAAAATTTTTTCTCTCGACGTCACGAGCGTGCACAATTGGAATATGAAGCACGCTCGCGTAATTGAATTTGATTAGACAAATTTACTAGCTATGTGATAAGATGGACTTGTGGAAGATTGGGCTTATAGAGGTTTCAAGCAGCTTGCGATACTTGCGTGACGTCAAAGATTGACGGTTTATGCCACCTGACTATGCGAATCGATGTTGTTTTTAGCGCTTTTGGTGCACAATATTGAATTGTTGAAAAATTTCCAGTTTATGAGTATAAATTCCATGTTGCTTGAAAGACAGACATCGCCAACAACATTTGAAATAGTTCCCTCTGTTACCCTGACTTGAAATGGAAAATATTTCACGAAAAACATCTGCCAGTAAACCTTGGAAACAAACAAAAAACAAACAACCAAAGAAAAACACGAAAGAAAAAATAAGCTGGGAGTTGGCTGATTGCTCCAGCTGTGTTTTCATTTTAGATCTTCTCCCATCCTTAAAACTTGAGTTAAAAAAAAAAAAAACGAGCTTTGCTCTTATTTTATAAAGCGGAGAAATTGCTGTTCGTAATGTCCAACGAAGGACAAAACTTAGGGTTGTCGGCATGGTGCCAGCGTTATTTTTAGCATAATAATGAGACAAAAGGACGAAACATTAGACTGGAAAATAGAGCAGAAAAAAAATGAATAAAAAACGGATAAATAAGCTAACAAAATATAAGACAAAAAAAAATTAAATCACTTTCACATTGCCTTGACTCTTTTACTTCATAAAATGTTTTCTAAAAACCATAGGATTTCACTATGAAAAACAAGTCTGTTTAACACATTTAAACATTTTCAAGACCGCGCAAGGTTAACGTCACGAGAGTTCTACAGAAGTTTTTTATCTGTTTCCATTTGTCCTTGTATAATTGTGGTCATATATTTTTGCACTAATCGTTTAATTTCAAACATCAAAATGTATTATCATGGCAAAACTATACCACATCTCGTGTGTTTCTGACACATTAAACAATACTTAATCAATCTCTTTATGTCCAATTTGTATTAACGGCTTATTCCATACGTCAAACTATAATTGCATTTTCGCTAGTTAAGAAAATCGTGCTGAGAACAACAACCTTCTACGACCTTACCTACACAATTCTAAAATACGTACAGAGCATCCAACTTGAAGGAAGGTTTATATAGTATTTGAAAAGTGCAATACATAACCAAATGCTTGTAATCAAACTTAGAGGTGTTTCTGTTTTTTCGCTTCAAACCATTGATTTAGATGTTTTCTTCTCTCTCCCACTAATTAAAGAGACTTTACAGAACTCACACTACTGTTCACCTGTCCAAAAATTCATATATCTTGTAGAGATAAAGGCGAAGGCTGAAGAAGTGAACTTTCTTATAGAAACGCTTTTTTAATTACCTAGTGGGCTTTTTTCAATAGAATTGTGGTCTACTCGAGATGATGTCGCTATGAAAAATTAGAACTTATTGTGGATAACAACAAAGAAACACCCTCGATTTCACTTTTAGTACGGGTTTCTATTGGATCATTCTCTTGTCTTCTTGACTAAGCTAACATTAATTGTCGGCGAATCTTTAATTTTCAATGTCAGTAATGCTTTCAGCAGCAATTTCTTCGTGGTGAAAAAATTAATAAAAAAGTGTATTAAAATTGGTTTCCACGGGTGTTAATCATGCTGGTTTGAGGCTGAATAAGGCATACATACAATAAAAACTCCAAAATAAAATAAAAAAACTATTCTATTTACTAATCATGAAAAAAAAAACTTTTTTAAGTTTTGTGATTCGCCTGTACCTACTTAAAAAAGTGAAGAAATTCATGTTATTCAGCCTTATTAAGTTTGTTTTCTTTCATCCCTGAAACTTGTGGTCAAAGAGAATGGGAATGGGATATATATGCTGCATTATCCAAACAATTTGTCGAAAAATTACCAACCAGCTGACTTTAAGTCCTATTATAGATATGCCCTTCGAAGTTACATGGCCCGGAAATTTTTTTCTGAGAGCACGCTACGCTTAGCGATGGGCGCCGGGTTACATCAAAGCTTACGCTCATGCAACTTCTTGGCCGAAGTTCCGCTAACGCTAGAGGAGCAACCGAATTCTTCTTTCCCAGGCATCGTAAACAGAGTGCTTTAACAGCTCTGCGAATGTCGGTTATACGCCAGCAATAAACCAGAGGGTTTAAAGAACTGTTGAAAAACACGATAGTTGATGCATACAAGTAAGCTATCTTAACGCTTATGGTGTAGCCCTCTACCTTGTGAACAATTTTCACGCACAGAAATGGAATGTAACAGAAAACAAAAATGCCCACAATGTACACCATTGTTAAAGTTGATTTCTTGTATCGCATTATTCTTGACAGTTGATGATTTACCGGGCATAGAGCTGCCGATGTCGCGTTTATTTGTTTCTCATGGCGGCGGACGTATTTCAGAACTCTCGTGTACGCCAAGAAAGTGAACACCAAGCAGCAGGATATCACTGGGATTAAAATACTGTTAAAAACTCCGTCATCGGCCATCCAAAGCCTGGAAGAGGCTAGTAGGATACAAACCATCCAAAGAACAGAGGCAGTAAATAAAATGCGTTTAGTGGTAACAATTTCTGTGTAACGGAGATGCAGATAAAGTGCGAGGTATCTTTCAATCGCTATACCTGCCATGATTAAAACTGAAGTTCCAGCCGTTATGTATCCCAGCGATTCTGTCATTATCCTTGTGGTACAGTACATGCTGTAGTCTTGGAGAAGTTCCCCGATCTTGTGGATCACAAAACATGGTTGAGCAATCAAACCGACAGTCAAATCGCTGAGCGCCAAACAGCAAAGAAACGTATTTGACGGTGTGTGAAGCGACGGAGTCCTCCACACTGCTACAATAACCACAGAATTACCGGCAGCAGCCGTGAACGAGGTTACGGAGTTTAATATTGTAGTCAGAATATGTGCGATGAAAAGGTGTTGGCTGAAATCCAAATTTATGTCCAAAAGAAAACATTCAAGAGAGGAAAAGGCTGGCGAACTGTTTGTTCTGTTGATGATCACCATCTTTACCTAATATCACTTGATAGCGCGCGAGATCTCTCGTATGACACCTGCTTAAGACTAATAGCGGTAAATTTAGCCAACCGACTTTTTAGTAAATTATATGGAGAGAGGAAGCTACTAAACAATATCAGCAAACAGGTGTTTTTGCGAAATATGCATTTGGCTCATGCAGTGAAAGTCAAGCGGTTTGTGCGGAAGGGACATGTTAGTTAGCTTTTGTTTATGGTAAAAATGTCGAAGGCGATAGGAAAATATAAAACATACACGGGAAAAAAAAAATTCCAAAAATTATTGACTCGGTACGAAATTGCGGTAAAAATGTTCAAAACTGTTAATCTTGTTTTTATACAAGGAGATTATTTTTAATGAATGAGCTAGGTTTGCAAAAACAACTATCATATGACATAAAGGAAAATTTTAATAAGTCCATACAATATTCACAAGGTTGCATTAAACAAATGTTAACCCTTTAACCCCTAAGAGTGACCGACCAGTAATTTTTTCCTCACAGCATCACCCGCTGAGGCAAACATCAAGAATTGAATAAAAGGATTGATCGATAACTCTTTATTGTTAAAGAAAATTCTCCTTAATTGTAAGTAAGGAAATGTGTGATAAACAGTATGGAGAATCTGATGCATACTGATGTCATGGTGTACAGGGTTTTAGAAAGCTTCAATTATGACACGCTCCAACTTTTGTTTTTTTCGTATGTTGACGCACAGTTGATGTATTGTTTGAAGACTTAAGCCAAGATTTTACAGGTATTTATCATGTAAACCACGGTTTTATGCAAGGATTTCCAGCCCTGAGAAAACAAACGTAACAACACACGTGCAAAATACGATATTTTTTCACGTGTGTTTGATATCGCCAATCGGCTGCCGACGCGTAACTCGCCTTTCGCGCCACTCAGTCGGGTTGACAAATGAACGACAAAGCCTTAACCATTCCCCTCAATCCATCCATACAGTGAAAAATCCGTTTCGCTTACAGAGTGGCGTTCAAACTTTCCTAGGAGGAGAAGAAAACCAAAATACGAAAATAAAAACCGAAAGATACGTATTCAGTTGCTTTGGTGATGGCATTTCGTTTCGACTATGAAATGAAAGTTTTCAGACCCAAAAAAAGCACTTCCGCGTGAATTAAATTAAAACTCAGCTGGCTTACGTAAAGAAAGGAGCCCTTAAGTGTCTGTCAGCTCAATTAATTTTCTGTTTTGTTTTTTTTTTTTTACATTATTTAATTTACATCACACATTTCTATCATAAGTAGACACTGCTCCGAACCGGGCCCAACTTGGATTTCCCCTCGTAACAGTGCGAATATAAGTGAGGTAACTTCTAAAGTGGACAAATTTCTCAGCTTTCACGGAAGACTCTGTCTTAAAGGAAAGGAAGGAGAGGAAGTTGAGGTGTCGGAGTGTACAGACGAAAGTCTGTGCAGATGAATAGGCGATATTGTTGGCTTTGATTATATTGAAACAGCAAGGCGACAGAGCAGTTCAAACAATGCTGTAGTTATTGGTTATTTGATACACGAGTTTAATTTTGGTCATTTTTGTTTTGTTTAGTGTAACTTTGTTTCGTATTTCTTTGAATTTTTAATTTTTCTATTAACAAGCGAGGAAATCGTAGCGCGTTTATTTGAAAAATTAAGCCCTAATTGTATCTCCGGTTTTTAGAAAGAGCTCGGCTTACGAGTACATACTCATTGAGACAAAAACTTAGTTAGATCTATACTTTAACTGCGATGTCTTCAAGACCCCTCTCGGTATATTTGATATACATGATTGAAAACTTTGATCGTTTATGCTATCTGGGCTAAAGTCTTTTTCGCACAGTGTTCGGAATCATCTTTTTTAAGGGATAAATTTGCATGCGACTAAATTCGACCAAGCGGCGTAAACTCAAAGGAGATGCGCTCGACTTTCTTTTTCGATTTTCTAACGAGTAAAGTAAATACCTACCTGAGCTTTATTAAAAATCCCTTCTTGGTGCGTCATACTATTTTAAGAAAGTGAAAACTTACCTTAATCGGCGCTGAGCAAAGGTTTCTACAGAAGTCATCACTTCTATATTTTCACACTTCAAAAACTTCCTTTAGCAATAGGAGGCGAGACATGCAGTTACAGTCGAGTGAAAACGTTACGAAATTGTTCGCACAATCTGCCACCCCAGTCATCTACGACATCAAGGAATGCTTTCTTTTTGACCTGAACTTTGCTTCAGCTAAATATCTCTTCGCCACCCACATTCTAACCACGATTGTGAACTTCGTCTTCTCTGCGTCAGCGATTGGTGGGAATTCCATCGTGATCTTCAGTGTTTGGAAAACGCCCTCACTTCAAACGCCATCGAACGTTTTTATATGCTGCCTCGCCTTTAGTGATTTAGCAGTTGGCTTGTTGACTCAGCCATGTTTTGTTGTTCATAAGGTCGGCGAAATGTTCCATCGCGTCGAAATGTATTGCACCACAAGAATGCTACTCGAGTCACTGGGAAATATTACAACAGGAACTTCAGTACTCACAATGACGGGAATAGCCGCGGAAAGATGGCTTGCTTTGTATTTCCATTTGCGTTACAACAGAGTATTAACCTGTACTCGAGTCCTTTCCGCAGTGGCATGTTTCTGGGGCGTTTTTGTAGTCTTCGCCGTCCTCCGGGTTTCTGTTTTGCGCCCAGAGGCGTACACCGCCATCTTAACCACCGTAATTGCACTTTGTTTTCTCTCTATTTGCCTGGCCTACATTAAAATCTTGCGATGTGTTAAACGACATGAACGTCAAATTCAAGCAGTACAAACGGAGGTCAAGAGATCTGGTCGACAAATCGAGCAAACCGCGAGTCGCTTGAGAAATATGCTACGCTACAAGAAGTCAACAATTGCCATGATTGTCGTCGTTGGTTTTTTCACGGCTTGTTTTGCGCCTCTCATGTGCGTTATACTGGCCTACAAGATGTTGGGATACACCACTCCGGTGAAAACGGCCTTTATGTACGCATCAACGATAGCCTTTCTAAACAGCTCATTGAATCCTCTTGTATATTGTTGGAGAATACGAACTTTGAGAACCGCCATTAAAACGGTTTTAGGAGAAAGAATGCGTAGAAAAGGAATCTAACATCCAGGTAACTAAGAAAATGAAGAGAATACCATTCGCGATGCGCTTAGCGTTCAGATCAGCACCGCAAAGATTTTAATGAGATCCTTAGGTAAAGGTGCAGTACTAATGATGTGTTCGTTTCAAAATCATGCCATTTTATTTCCGCGATGAAAAACGTAAACATAAAAATTTGTCTGCTCCGTTTATAGCGAGCATATTCACTTGACAGGTATCAGTGAGAATAATCTAGTATATTATGAAATGTTCAGAGAAATGCGCGCGCCATGATTGGTCAGAACGAATTCATTATATTTCCATAAAGCACGCGCCTTACGTCACACGAGTGCATTGTTGAGATATAATGTTCGCTGCCTACGTCATCGGTATGAGGGCGCGTAATTCACGATACATTTTATAAAAGAAATAAAAAACTTGTTCCTCGAGCATTGTTGAGTTATGTAAGCACTTGGTAATTTTTAAGAACACTCGAGAAGTGCGAGAAGCACTCACCTTCGGCTCGTGCTCCGCATTTCTCTCATGTTCTTAAAAATTCCCGCGTGCTTCTATAACTCAACAATACACTCGGCGCGTTTTTTATTCCTTTACTGTAAAATTATCTAAGATCATGAACTCGACACGCTTCAGAATTCTTTGTTTTTTTTTCTTTTTATAGAAACTTCTAGTCCTGACATAGTAATCTGTCCTATAATATGGGTGTCAAATCCTCTAGACTGAGATCTCCCATGATCCCCTAGACTGAGACACCCAGGGACTTTGATTCGTGCGTGACACATGTCAGATGATGAGTGTGAACGTTATGTCAAGAGCTAGAAGCACCGCCTGTAGAGATTTTGGGACATTGATCGGTTTACATGATTAACGCAACCTTGAATGACCTTTTAATTCAGTACTTAGCAACAACCAATCACAATGTAGAGAATATCGTATAAGGGAGTAATTTCTTACAAATTTTGCAGAGTATCTTTTTTGCACACCCGTTGTAAATAAGCGAATACGAGAGTGGAATAAAACATTTTGATTGAGTCTAGTTCGTTAGAATTGTATCCCTAGTAAACAGGGCAAAGTTTACGAAAGAGACCTCCCATGATCCCCGAGGCTGAGACCTCCCATGATTCTTTACGCTGAGACCTCCAATGATTCTTTAGGCTGAGACCTCCCATAATCCCCTGGGTTGAGACCTCCCATGATCCTTTACGCTGAGACCTCCCATATTCCTTTACGCAGAGACCTCCAAAGATCCTCTAGGCTGAGACCTCCCTTGAGGCCTATCTATAAGTTCAAAAAGTCATCAGCTCTTTGCACCTGAACATCAGTGTGCATATTCTCCATACCGCTCTCTATACATTTCCCGAGGTGCTGAAAAGGAGAATTTTTTAAAGAATCTAAGGCTATTTTTAGTTGTTGATCATTTCCTTTATTCTCACGGCTTTAATGTTTGATTCAGGGGTGATATTGTGAGGAGAAATTAGATGTTAGTCACTCTATGGGGGCAAAGGGTTAAACATCGTAATTAAATATTTCAGTGCCAGAAAATAAAGTTTGCCGATCAACTTTCACAAAACAAAGCTACAGTACCGGTAACCTGGATCTCGAGCTAAATAGAAACGATTGGAAATCGATGATAAAGTAAAATATTCCCGTAACCTATCTTGGAAATCGGCCGACTTCAAATTTCCCTAACTATGTTATCAATTAATTTATGTCAATAATTAAATTGTCTTATTCTTATAATTATATTTAATCATTTGTAGTTCTTGAATTGGTTTGCTTCGCACATTTACACAGCAGAACTTATCTCCAATTTATTCTGCAAACACTTCCTTTTCTAATAACTTATGTATTATTTTATATTGATACATCTTTGATTCCTAAGACTTTTCAAACCCTTCGAAAAATTGTTCTAAAATGTTGTAAAAGTTGCACGATGGACGCCGCCATTTTGGAAGCGGCTAGGTAAGCAGGCCCCACATGAAAAGCCCGGCACAAAGCGCATGGTAAACGAGCAGCTGCGTGCTGCTCTGCTGATTATCAGAAACAGTCAATTGTAAGGAAGTCAGGAATACCATTTTTCGAGGCTTACAATTGTTAAAACAGATCTCCAAGATTGAATTGCTAACCCTAAGAAATTTGTAACTGATATATCTGTGCGATGATATAATGCACAAGCCTTGTTTGTTGTAAGCAATGTAATGTAAGTGTTGTGTATCGTGAGAAATGTATTGTTATTAGATAAAAATTTTGCAATCTCAACTTAAATTACAAAATGTTGTAAAAATAATAATAATAATGAAAAATAGTAATATACAGATTTCCAACAAAAGGGCTCAATTTCAGCAATTTCTGACCTTTGGGAATTAACATACTGGCCCCGGTTGATCGAAGATCGGATAACGCTATCTACTGGATAAATCTCTATCCGGTGGATAACGCTATACGTTTTGTTATCATTTATCCGCTGGATAGCAATTTATCCGTTGGATAGCGTTATCCGCCCTTTATACAGCCGGGCCCAGATGGCGCGTTGAAGAGGTTCGCGTGGCATCATGGAAGTTTCGGATCATTTAAGCGTTTCGCGGGAAAATCACGTCATTTTAGGTCGGTCAGTCTTATGTTTGACCACTTAATTTTTTGTATTTAATTTGTTGTAAACAAAGTTCAAACTCCCTGTAAAATATTATTAAGATCATTGATTTTTCTTTGTGATTAGTAGTGCTACCAGGTTATTTTACCCTTTCCTTGGGGTATTGTGCTGCTGCATTAAATGAAGAATACGTTTCCACATTTTTTTGACCTTATCTAAAGAGTGGTTTTAAATTGGTTTTTCTCGTCTGGCGTAACACAGGTTTTTTGTGTAGAACCCCTAGTTTTAGTGTACACATGTTAAGATTGTATTAGCATGTGTGTATTATAGGACAGACTTGGTAATCCTAAATGAACTTTTCGTATTGGAATGTCTCGTGTGAGTGTAGTCAGAATGTGAGAACATTTCCGTCTTACTGACACTATAACAAAAAAATTAACAAATTAGCTAAGAATGGAGGAATTCACCTTGCTCAGATTTGAAACTGAAATATTATGGTCTTGCTTCGCTGCAACAGGACACTAGTCAGACAATCAAATACCGCTCTACTACACTGAAGTTAGGGCTATGTCTTGGCAATTCGTACTCAAGCTGTCCCTCTAGACTTTCTACCAAATCTCTCAGCTGCTCGTCCTCTGACACTCGCCATAGGACCACATCTTGAAAATGATTTAGGCCATCCAGATTTCTTCTCAAAAATACCCTCAAAGAACTGGATTTTGGCCAAGAAGGGAGATACATTGACGGGTTTCTTGAATGTTTACTTCCTTAACTGGAATGTCGTTAATTGTTATATCTCCATCTGCGCTAGGCATGCGCATGAGAGCAGCTATAAAAGACGATTTACCCGCACTCGTGCGGCCAGCAATACCTATCTTTGCTCCTCCTTTGGTACTGAGATTTATTTTCTTTAGTACTCGAGATCCCCCAGGATAGTATGTCAATGATACATCTTTGAATGTGATCCTTCCTTCCGGTGGCCAATGTTCGGGAAGAAGTCGTTACATTTTGTACCCAGGCTCGGAGTCAAGCTTGGTGTAAGCGATGACTCGTTTACATATCATATAATTTTCTCTCTGAGATGTTTTTCTTACAGAATATTTGATATCGTAAACAAGTGATAGCTCAGCAAGAGCTGAAAGAGATGTTTCGGCTGCTCAAGAAAACAACAATAAGCAAAAAGAAAATTGATCTTCGGGATTTGAAATATTGGATAACGACTACAGACTGGATGACGTTAACAAGTGATAGCCTAGCAAGAGCTGAAAGAGTTGTTTAGACCGCTCAAGAAAACAACAATAAACAAAAAAATTGATCTTCGGGATTTGAAATAATGAACCAAGACCACTGCGAAGCAAAATCGATCTAGTGAAAATCAAAATTGATTGTATTAGTAGGGCAGAGGTTTAGGATTAACTAAAAAGGAATAAATCATTATGAATAATACGAAGTTACCAGCATTTTGAGTCGTCAAAACCTCTGCTGGAACTACCGCGCCGAATAACAGGACAGTGACAAGGTCCAAGCCGGACACCGAACTATCAGTCACTGGCCACCACCACGATAAACGACTGATTATCAGAAATATCTTGATACCTGCGGGGAGAAAATGAATCATTTCATTTAACGTCAGTATGCTGCAGTTACAGCATCATCTGCTACATGATTCATGTAATTAATATTTTTAAGACGTCAAGCTAAGATTTCCTTCAAGAGACGTATCCAGGTAAATTATTAAATCCAATTGTGATATGAGGCTAAAACAGCGAATAGTCTGCCATCAATCAAAAAAAAACAAAAAAAAAAAAAACAGTTGACGTCGTAATTTACAGACTCAACACCATACCACAAAACTTTAGTTTCCTTGCATCGCTGCTCGATGACAATGTTTCAAATATAATTTTAGTAGCAGAGGTAAGGAGGGCGTTGCGTTGAGGAGCATACCTTGGGCAATACAAGTTTTTATGTTTCCATCTTCGGACAGATTTGTCAATTTTCGCCTTGATAACAGTTTCAAAATTGTCCCCTGACAGTCTTTCTCGTAAACTCTGCCAGGAGTGCAAATGAAATTATTTTAGTTGCTGAACAGCTCAACAATAAAGCAAACGTGTTTCTCTTTGTAAGGAGCATGTTATCTTAAAACTCGCAACCAAGGAACCCAATGAAAACAGAAGATTTCTTTTCCTATCAAGGATGGAGTAGGGTTTCAGTTAACTTCGACTGACTGGATGCAGAACAGCACTAAATACTTAATACGTACGCGCGTGCGGCAAGGTTACTGAGTTGTTTTCGAAATGGCGGCGTGGCAAAGGAAGCAACAAGATAGGCCGGGATCCCAGTTTCCCAAGGTTGAGACCGGGATAACCAGGTTGGAAATTTTGTAACTTATCAAACATGTCTCGTACTTGCTTCCAATTTCTCTGTAAATATGGTGCCTCCACAAATACTTCCCTTATGTTATGTCCCCAAAATGCCCCCCCCCCCCCGCATTTTTAGAAAGGGCCAGGAGCCCTTTCCCTACATAATGGGTAATGGGTAATAAGCGCCTGTAAGGGCAGATTACTCAGCACCTCTGCCTTCTTTGCAAGCTTACTCGGTTTGAGGAGTTGCTTGGCATATTGGCTGCATCAGTTACAGCCAGTTGAAGCAATAACCCATGAAACAATTTGAAGCGCATGGAGATGTTGGTCTGAACTACAAATCTTACCTCGGGTTTGCGAAAATCTACACAGTTTTTCCACTACTAGAGTAATGTAGTGTTATCAACTGAGTTGAAAACGTAAATTGACCACCGTAAAGAGTTTAAAGGCTGACGTTTCGAGCGTTAGCCCTTTGTCAATCGCTCTGACGAAGAGTTCACACTCGAAACGTCGGCCTTCAAACTCCTAACGGTGGCCAATTTACGTTTTCAACTCAGATGATAACACTAAGTTACCCTGTTATACTCTCCCACCGACACAGTACCAATTTCTTTAAAAACTTACTCCCTTTTCCACTATTAGATACTCTATTTGCGGCTTGGTTCTTCACGACGTACCAATACGATAAAGGGCAGCGATATAATCCACTCAAGACTCATGAAATGCGCACTGAGCATCGAAACCTTGACTCCCCTCACCCTTGAAAACTTTCCGAGTTACACCCCTGCTCATAAAGGAAGTCTTCTGTCACTGGATACATTTTAATAACGTTAGCTTTACTTTTTTTGTTTGGACAGAAACATTTTTCAGACTGACCTCTATTTCCGTGAATTAAGGGGTAAGTTTCTAAAGAAACTGTGGTGCTGCGTCGGTGGGAGAGTATAGCAGGTAATTTAGTGTTAACAACTGGGTTGAAAACGTAAATTAGCCACCGTAAAGGGTAAAAAGCTGACGTTTCGAGCGTTAGCCCTTCGTCAGAGCGATTTCCGTGGTTAGGTTAGCCATTCTCCCTCATCGAGACCGCAAACGGAGCCCTTCGAATGCTGAAATCACTGCTCCTTTGTTTTATTTTATTCAATCGTTAATCTTTTTTGCGGGATGGCTAGATTATCGTTATGCATATGCATACATTCAATTCTCCGGCTTCCGCCGCCGCAATTGTTGTTTTCTAAAATCTATTCCGCGTGACGTGGACGGGAAACAATATATCCGTTTCTAAGGGTGCATTAAAGTTTCGTTGTGCTTCAAAACTCTGTTTTGCAAATTTCTCCGTGAAATTTTGGCTGAAGAGGTGGGAGATAGTTGTTCACGGCCTTACCAATATGAAGAATTTCCGGGTGTCAAAAACCACGTATTTATTCATCAGATTCCACCGGACAGGAATCCCACTTTCTTTTATTGGTAGCCATGATCGATGGACTTATGTAACCTGCTGTAAAACGACTCCAAATAATTACTGTTTTCACATCCGTACAAGGAAAAGTGGCGCCAAGTCGATTTTGTTTGTACGCGATCTATTCTGCATGCGAAAGTTATTATTAGAACACAATGACGACATTCGCAATATTGAAAGCAAAGTCCAGAATATATGAATATATAACAAGCCATAATTTTGTCGGTTTCTGCGGCGGCCACAAAGAAGCTGCCGTAATGACCGCCAATAACGCAGAGCGTCACCCTCGGCAACCAATCATATCCCCGCAAACTTTTGTCATGCAAATATAGCCTTATTTGCATATCACGTGATTTGTTCATTTTTGCTGTCCCTCGCACGTTCGGGCTCAGCGAGACATTCATCAGCCATTTTGAGTTTTTGTTGAGTATTACTGAGATTTGAAAGGAAATTAAGAAAAGAGAATGGATTGGAGTTATCGAAAAACTGTTTTCTTGTGTCTAACCTTCGTAACGGTAAGTACAGTTTGTAGTTTGCACCGACTCGAAGGCCAAGAGGAAGAAATTTACTAAGTTTACACATTAAGAATTTTAGTTGTGATGGCCCCGACGAAATGGTCCTGATTAACACTTCGAAATGTGCCATGTCTTATAACTTCAAAATCATTCAAAAACTACTGTCATTTGATAGTCGTAGTTGTTGTTTGAGTAGTCACTGAGCGCTGATTTGCTTGGGCGAAAATGTAAGATGAATTGAGTATTTCTGATTTAAGACCTTTTCCGTTTCGACAATTCGCTTCAAACCGTAAGGCAGATATCAATTTGACGCCCTTTCGCAATGACTTGCAAGCTTCTCGTTACTTCTCACTCTCTTCAATTTTGCCATTAATGTTTTAAATAAAATTATCTAGTTCGTGTTCAAGAAACGAGGACGTAAAATCAAGTGAACTATTCTGAAGAACATCGACATTTCGCTGAGAAGAATATGTAAACCCAGCTTCGGAACGGGCTGAATTAACAACCCATTCAACGTTGTAAAAACAAGGTTTTATTGTTAGAATACATCTACAGCTCTCTTACTCAATGGAATTATCAAAGAGAGGAACGTAGAATTGATGTTAAAACTCTTAAAATTTTCGAATGAGTGCAGTATTTGTGGAAGCGGACGAAGACCGATTGTTGTTGACATAGTGATTGTACCTTCTTGTATCATATTACACCGATTTAAAGACGATTTTGTTCAATATCAAAGCAACAAACTAGACCACGCAATTTTTAGTTCAAGACGTGTCGTTTATTGTCCATGGAGGATATAGATGGAAACAGTCTTGTCTGAAACGAATTGGTATATAGAGATTCAGGTGCAATACAAGACAAAGCATCCGCATATCTCCGAATTTGTCACAGACAGTTCGATTGCACACAATATGCTCTTAAATTGGAAAGTTGTATTGACAAAGCTTAAACTTGGTATTCCTAAATTGATTTTTCCCCAATAGTTTTCTGAAAATGCGTGTTGTTTGTCTTGCTGTAAGCTTTGCTAGTATTTCCTGTGATGCGTATTACATAAGTACAGAACGCATAAGTATAGATGTTGGTTCAGATAGGTCTCCTTTTAACCTGTATAACACGAAGGGCCCACAAAAAATTTATCTTTTGTAGTAATCAGAAGGGCTTACTTTTACAGCAAATTGGAAACATGTAAATATTGATTTTCTTTCCTTTCCCTATATTCTTGTTCCATACACTTCTAATTAAGGAAAATTTCAAGGTTAAATCCCAACTTTATGGAACTTAATAGAATATGTGAGGTTACAGATGTGTTTCAGCTTTCTCCTCTGTTTTTTAGTTTTTTTTGTTTGTTTTTTTCAGCCATAGTATATTATGATTACTCTCAGATGAATATTTTGGTGTCAAAACTCTTTGAATATTTGAAATGAGTTTTATCTGTCCACTGTCATGATGTGCTGGTTGAATTGGTTCATGCAGAGTTTTACAGACTTACTTCATGCAAACATCTACCTCATAGGCTTGTGTGCCAACCAAGTGTTTGTTAATTAAAGCCCAAAGCAGATCCCTAGGTTTTTCATGGTGATATATTGAGGGCTTAATTAACTCCTTATAGTTTAAGATGTGAAAAGGACCAGGGAAATCTCTGGCATATTGTGTTAAAAAAACCTTGCTGTCGTAAACTGCAGTTTGATTCAAGGACATTGCTATAGTTTGTTGTTTTCTTCAATCCCTGTGGTGATACATTTTGCTAGGTTGTAATAAATTATTGATGTTTCTCGACCCTTTTCAATTATTTTGTTCCTCTATAATCATTTTTTCCACATTTCTTGATGTAATAACTCGGTGTGTTCAGTATTTCTTTGAAACCTGGTAATTATTCCATTAATATCTGCATATCTACACTACATGCATGTATTTTAGACTTGAGTACTGAGAGTAGATAAACATTTCAAAATCTCTCTTTGGTAAACAGCTTCTCCAGTTGTGGATACAAAAGGGTAAAAATGGTAAATGGCAAAATTTTAAGGATTGATATGTTCTTTTCTGCATCAATTCTAAGGTATTTTGTTCCACCAATAAGTTCTATTTTTTGGTCTAGATGTCAACTGTAGGCAGGGTTGTAGATAAGAGCTGGCAGCCCTAACATTTTGTCCGCCATATTGGATTTCAAGACCCACAACTGTTTACCTTTAAAAAGCTCTGGCTACTTAAAACCTTAAAGAAAACCCTGTGTAGGGGGAAATAATCTAGATATTAAGTATTATCTTGGAATGCAAACAGAGTCAACACTTTCTCTTTGTAGATGCACACAAAGTTAACTTTCTCAATGGTTTATTTTATATACTTATTGTAAGAGAAAATTCCTCTTAATACTGTAATCTTTGTTTGTTTGTTGAGTTTAAAATGTGTGGCAAATTTTTTATGTTCACTAGTCACTAGTTTGTAGAAGACAATTTACACATGCCTATTGTAAGAAGTGCTTGTGCACATAGTGTTTTCCTTTTCAGGCAATAATCAATCAAATCTATCGACTATAATACCCCCTATTACCATGTAAAATTGATCGGAACACTTGAAAATTAAACAGGTAAAAGGATTGCTCTAGGTGCTGGTTTGAAAATTTCTTCTACTGGTTGGGCTTAAAATAAGGAAAAACACTGTACAGTTTGCATGGTATCTGATTAGTTGAGAGGATGGTGCAAGTTTTTTGTACCAATTACAGAGGAAAGTTTAGTAAAACCATAGTAACCCTGGATTACTTTCAACTCTCAATTAAACATTGCATTTATTCTTGCATTGTGTTGGTTTAGGTTGGAAATGCACTTGTGGAAAATCTGAACGATGATTTAGACTATGACCCACAAGTGGCCATTAAGTGTGGCAAAGTGACCAGGCACATTGATGTCAACACTGGAAGCTGGGAAGCAGACAAAAACAGCACTAGTCTTTGTGCCGTAACTATGAAAGAAATTCTCAAGTAAGGATGTAGAGTGATGTTATGTTGACAGTCTCCAACCCTCTGTAACCCCTAACAGTGACTAGCATCGAATTTTTCCTTGCAATATCACACTTGAATCCAACTTATAAGGTCATGAAAATAATGGGAAGGATCACCTGCTAAAGAAGGTCTTGATTGTCAAATAAATTATCTTTGCAAAGGAAATGTTAAGAGAACAGTAAAGGATTTTGTAAAATTGGTACAATGTCTAACAAAATTGTTTTGGTGTTAACCCATTGAGCTCCACACCCTAGAGCTCAGACCACCCCCTGAAATTCCAGAGAAAATGGCTACCACAGTGAACACACAGACCACTGCCAAAATAATTTAAGATTTTAATGTCTTCATTTCACTCTACTGAAGGGAAACTGCACAAAGTTGCATATTAAATAATATACTTTTCCCCTGTCAAATTTTATTTTCAACTTGAGCATCAGGCTCTCTCAAAAAAAATTCTAAAGCTAGAGAACTGATTCAACTTCGTGATGTACAGCAAGTCATTGGCAAGGTTGCCTTCAGCTTTGAAAGTATTTATCAGTATGATGACTCTCTTTTGCACTCTTATTCCATCAGAATCATGCAAAAAGTTTTCCCTAAAATACAACACCAAAAGACAGATCGCGAATTTCTCCTCAACAAAAGGAATCCGAAACTTTCTAACGAGGGTCAATTTTGAATTTGCCCGCCATAGCGACATCGCGACACGTCACAAGGCGCAGCTATAAAATTACTTTTTGCGAGTCATGAGCAAGAACAAACCAATTTTTACGCCTAAATGAAAAGTTTCACTTTGAACGATGCATATGTTCTTCGCATAGGCAAACTTTTGCTCCAAGCGAGCTACAAGGGGGCAAACTTGCAGAGGAGATCGTTTTGGTCTTCTGCGGTCGGGTCAGCAAGATGTAAATATTTCCCTCGAGTCATGCAGCGGTGCTCTAGGATCGTGTTTTTTTTTTAAGCAATCAACTCCAACAAACTCGTCAGAATCGCAGTACATTGCCGGCTGAGGAAGTTCATGGATTCCAATGAGAATGTTTAGCCCGAGATACGCTGAAATTTCCGCTTGGGTAGATGTGAACGATCGATCCCCTTTCGAACGAGCGTACGCAACGGTGTATCGGACGATTTCGTCAATGTAAGCATCGTCGATAAATACATTAAAGAAATCTTTGGCAGTTGCATTTTCTCCGAGATCTCTGGTCGGGCCACGACGAATGGAGAATTCCTCAACATTAATTTGTCGCAATTAGCTAGACCATTGAAGAGCATTTGGTCGGCTTTCTTCTGCGGCAGATTCTTCATCACTACTTTCGTCGCTTTCTTCTTCCTCCTCACTAGCGTATAGCTCAACATCAGAATCGCTTCCCCTTATTTTGCGATCGTAGGTCGAAAAAGTCTTCCATCTCGTCATCCACATTGCGAAGCAAGTTTTGTTCATGCTGTGCTTGACGAGCTTGTCGCTTTTTTCAATTTCTTCGATGATAAAACCAGCAAAGACTTCTTGCTCTTCATCGGATGAAAATTAACTTTCATCAATTCTTCCAGAAGCCATGTCTAAGATCACGACATATTTTTGAAAAATTTGTGAAAAATCGCACGGTTAACGTGGAATAGTGAGTTTGGTCTCAAACGAAAGCTTATTTTTTGTATGTCACGTTTCACTGCTTTTCAATACCCAGGGGAGTTTTGTTTCTAAGCTACAGCCAATCAAAACAAGCCATTTCTGACAGGGCGCATGAGGGCGCATTGGAATTTCAGAGGGGTTTTATTTCTGGGCGCATGAGGGTGCATCGGATGTCAATGGGTTAAAACAGTATTTCAGTGAAACTTCTCACTCATTTTGTAAAATGTTTTTTTTTCTGTTACTAGGTACTGCAAGGTCATCTACCCTTCACAAGATGTGAGAAATGTTGTTGAGGGTAACAAGCAGGTGTTAGTGGATGGCAGCCTTGTCACTCCATACCGCTGTCTTGGTAAGTCAGTTAGGATTATGCAGATCATACTCTGATCAGAGCAGTAACTTGAAGGGGTGAATGGAAGAAAGCTCTCAGTAACTTTCACTATATTGGTAGAGTCTCAATTCCTGATTAGGAGGACAGAGGATTCTTTGTTCCACCTATGTAATCATCATGTAACTTCTCTCAATAATATCCATACATTATTCGGCAAACAGGCAACAAGATGACTCAGACTTGTTATTTAGAAGTTTTTATCTTGATTGATAATACCAAACTCTCTTAACCCTTTAACCCCTTAGAGTGACTGGCATCTAATTTCTCCCAACAGTATAACCCCCACATCACACAGTAAGGTCATGAGAATGAAGGAAATGATCACCAACTAGATATTCTCTTGTTTGAAAAACAAATTTCATCTGTCAGCACCTTAGGAATTGTATCAAAAACAGTATGGAGAATAGGGTGTAAAGGGTTAACTAATTTATAAGGAAATGTCAAAGAAACAGAGGGGAAAATTAACAACCAGATCTTGGGAGTCAAAGGGTTGTGATCTTTAGTTTTGGAAACAATTTGTGGATTGTGTAAATTTTGTCAATGAGTTTTAATAAAGATGGTTGCTTTATCTATTCACGATAGTTGGCCCTTTTGAGTCAGATGCCTTACTGGTGCCCCCAAAATGCCGTTTCGAGCATATGCATGATGACAGCAATTGCCTCTCTCATGACCAGTGGCACACTCGAGCTTCAGACAAATGCCAGAGTGAAGGCATGATTGTTAAGGATTATGGTGTCCTTATTCCATGTGGTACTGGAAAGTTCACTGGCGTAGAGTTTGTATGTTGTCCTCAAGATGCCAGTGACGAGAAAGCAACTGATGCTGCTAAGATTGTGCCAATTTCTGAGGCAGCTGGCACATCAAAGCCAACCAGTGTTATGGAACACTTGAAACAAGAGATCAGCAAGTTTGCGAAGCATGTCGAAGAAAGTACAATTGGTATGTTGTGGAGGTTGAAAAGTACTATTTCAGATTGTAGATGGAGTATCATTTTGCAGACAGACACATATACATGTATGTGCATAATGTGTTATTGGAAGTTGTCAGTGTTGAACTGACTTTCAAGGGATGGCTAACTCCCATGAGTGACCAAGATGGAATTTCCCCTTTCAGTATCAATGGAATATCAAGAAGACAAGTGACAAGAATAAAGCAGAAATATCAATTAGGAGATCATTATTTGATTTGATACCAAATTCTCCCCACTGACATCATTAGAATTGTATGGGAAATAGTAAGGAGAAGAACTTATGAGATCTTAAGGGTGAAAGGGTTGAAATAAGACAGATTTTTTAAAACTTTCATCACCTGGAGCATTGTCTTTTTTCTCTTTCATGGCTTAATGTATCATTATCAAATGCATTTTGTTGACCCTAAGGTTACAACTGAATTTACTTTTTTTTTTTTTTTTTTTTTTTTAACACAACCATGGTAGATCTGAGGTCAATTGTAATTGCAGTCTATGACATTCACTGTACAGCTGTCTTTCATTAGAAGTGATCCTGTGTGTTCTTGTTGTTGTCAGGTTGTGATCGACAGAAGTATCATGAGCGACGTGACAAACTGGAAGAGACCCACAAGACAAGGGTCCAGTCATTGATTGATAACTGGAGAATGTCTGAGAAACGATACAAGTTGTTGAAATCAACCGATGAAGACCAAGCAGCTGGTTCAATTTCATGTAAGCTTTGCAGATTTGGGTGTTTTGCATGTTTTAAAATAATTCAATAAGAATTGGGATGGAAAACATTGTTTAAAATACTTTGTTGTGAAAAACATGCAACTAGCAAAAGCAAGTTTTACATTTACATCAAAGTTCCTTTGATTTCTGTTGACTTGTTGTTGTTTTTGTTGTTTTTCATAAAAACAGTAATCATATATTGTATACCTAGACATGTACATAAATGATAATGAAAGATGATCATGGTTGTAAATGTTGCAGAGAAGAACCAGTAGAACTGCTTTTTTTTCATTCAGATTGTGAAGATAAAAACATCTTTTGAGTGTCTCTTGACATAAGAATTAGTGTTCTTTGGCAGCTCCATACCATTCCAACAAGGCCCTGACCTTGGTATGACTATTAGTACAGTCTGTGGGTTAATTCCAGCCCCAGTATACATGAACATACACTTGTATTACTGCTGATACCTTGAACATGCTAAAAAGGAGAGAGGTACATTATGCCTGTCAGGCAAGTTGCACAGACCAATCAGTCATGGGACTAAATGTTCAGAACTTACAGATTTATGTATTACAAGAAACTTTGAATTTCAAATTCAAATAATTTCTTACAGCGGACCTTGAGACCTTCAACAAGATGGTGAGCTCCTTTGAAGATCAGGTTAAACTGGAGCGTGCCAGACTGAAGGAAGAGCATCACCAGTGTACACAGATTGACCTTAATGACAAAAAGAACAAAGCAATGGCTGACTTTGTTGCTGCCCTGCAGGAAGAACCTCAGGATGCCAACAAGATTCTGGAAGCTGTGCAGCGCTATGTGAGATTCTGCACTCAGGATCGTCTGCACAAGTAAGCTGACTTGGTGCAGTTATAGATTTCTGAAGCAGTTAACCCTTTAACTCCCAGAAGTGATTCACATGAAACTTCTCCCTATAATATCCATACATTGTTCTGCAAACAGGTAATGAGAATATACAAATTTATCAGGTAGAAGCTGTTATCTTGATCCAGTATCAAGTTCTCATAACTAATTTACAAGGAAATGTTCAGCAGCTAGAGGAGAGAATTAACAATCAGATCTTTGGAGTTAAAAGGGTTAAGCATAAGTGGTTTGAAATGTAACTGCCTTTTTGGAGGAAAAAAAGTACTATAACCTTGCCTTATTCATCCTTTATCGTGTGGTTACTCTTCAGTTTGCGTTACTTCGACTATGTGCAGAAGCACCATCCTGGGAAAGCTGAGGAAGCTCGAGAATCACTGCAAAATCACTTGAAACGCATCAATAATCTTGTGAATGAGTCTATGGTACTGCTGTACAAGCTGCCAGACATTGCACGCAAGTTTCAGTTGGAATTGCCAGACTGGATCCCAAAACCACCTGCCCTGGTAAGTATGAGGGCAGCAATTAAATATTACCAGAAATTTTTTTGATCTGAAAGAATCAAAATCGGTGTATTTGAAGCAAGTGGTGAAGTTGATGTCAGATAAGGGCATTGGTATCAGTCCATTCTTAAAATTTTACCATCTGGCCTTATTCAACAAAATTTAATGAATATTTCTAGTTGGGAATTCCACTCAATGAGTTGAGAAATTTTGTTTTGCAAAATCATGGGAATTTACCATAAACCTAACACTGGGGAATTTGTGAAGATGAGCAGACAAGCCTTATTTTGCAGTGCTTAATTAAAAAGGTATCATGTTGTGGACATTTTGGCAACATTACCTGGTCTATTAGTTCACTATGGTGGGTATTTGGTGCCACATTTTAGATACTCAACAGGCATTGTGAACCTGTCCTTGTTCATGCTGTTTTTTATGATCAGCCCACTACAGAAGCACCAACAGTAGAGAAGAGCTCAGCAGCCAAAGATCCCACAGACCCACCAAGCCATGTTGGAAGTCAACCTGCAGCTACTAACGTGGGTGCCATGGGTGAGTCAAGTCAGTGCCGTGTCATACATGCCGTGTCTGTGTTACTAAGGGATTTGATGGAGGAATATTGATCAGTTGTCTAAGTCTTACTACCTTTTCTGCAGGTAAACCTGAGCATGGAGATGATGATGATGAAGATGTGGTCGAGGTTGAGGAACCTTACAAGAAGAAGGGTCAGTTGTTTGCATTAACTGTTAACCTCCTAAGTGTTTGATATGCGTGTCTCCCCTCTATCTGATGGAAATTTCCATGTACATTAGCGAAGATTCTGGTACAACATTATGATAAAGCCCTTCAACTGATAAGTTGGTTTATTCGCTATAAGTATCTTCTGGACAAACACTAAAATTGTTATAAAAAGCTTTATGTTAATTGCACCTGGCATTTATACAGGTTATGGCCTAAGATGCCTTCTTTTGTTGACAAATCTTTACCTTTGTTTTGTTCTTAAAGGTAAAACTGCAGCTTCCAAGAAGGATGATGATATTGATGATGATGACGAAGACGTTGCCGAGGATGAGGAAGGACCCTTCAGAAGGAACCATTCACGAGCCACCTTCTCTGCTGTCATTGGCCTCAGCTGCGGTGCCTTGGTCATTATGATCATCATCGTGGTTGCTATGGCCATGCGCCGAACGCGACCTAGCAACAACACCAAGACAGTTCTCGTCGACGAGGACGCAGAAGGTGCTTCCGAGAAGAGCCATCTCGTCAACATGCAAGAAAACGGTTACGAGAATCCAACTTACAGGTTTTACGATTACTAAGTAGCGTGCTAACTGATTTGTATCATTTTTTTTAGAAACTCTTCTTTTCTGGGTGGAAGCCTGTATTATAGACTACTTTCAATATTGTCGACCGGTAGAGGCGCTTGTCAGACTCTGAACGTGTTTCTATAGGATGTATTTGTCACTTGATAAACGAAGTCTTTCAGAGCACAGCAATGTACTTAACGCAAGTAGAATAGAAGTTTGAAGAGCCAATCTTTTTATAATCGTACTAGTATCAAGAGAGGGTTTATTCTTCATAGAGCAATTTCAGATTAGCGGTCGCCGCAGAGATCAACACCAAACTTGTGTAACTTTCTAGGTTACACTCATTTGCACTAGGCGTCGCAATCATTCTTAAACATTTCCACGTGTGCGGAACATGAAAAACTCATCTTCTTTCTTTGATGATCTTAGCCCTTTTTTTATCTTTACCTCGTTAGTCTGAACATGAAAGGAAATTTAAAATCGGACACTACATTTTTACCCTGTAAACCCTCTCAGTTTGAAGCCTTGTTGTAGATTTTATAGCGTAAACCAAGGAATCGAATCCTAATTTAGACAGGAACAGTATTTAAATCACTTGTAAACTGAACAGTATTTATTGGGAAGAGAACTGTAAGTTAGTTTGCACTTGATTACAGTCAACTTTGTCGTTTGGGGGCTCGAACTTCGATCTCGGTCGGGAAATTGATCGGAACGAATCATGCTGGTGAATCGCTGGAAATTGATCTGCACTCTGAATGCGGTCGAATCGCGGGAAAGCCGCGTGAAGTGTGTGTTGAGCGAGAAAACTACATCATGTCGAATTCGTTTGTTGGTCCCTCAAAGATTGAGTTGACATAAAAGTTCAGCTAATTATGCAACGCCTAGACGAGAATAAAGGCGTTGGTTTGTTGAGGAAGCAACAACTTTAGGAAGACCAGTATCGACAGCAAAAAAAGCTTTTACCTCAGTTGGCTTGTGATGTCTTAAAAGACAAAACGTAATTTACTTTTAAATAACTTAAATATAACCCTGTTACATTTTTTGTTTCCACCATTTCAATTTAATGATCATTGATTTCGTTTTGGATGAGGTTACTAATGAGACCACTTAAGTTGATGTGAACTTAGACTCCCTAGATCTGATTGATACTTCTCCCCTCTAGCTGCGACACATTTCCTTGTAATTTTGTCTCTAGAATATGGTGGTTGATCAAGATAACTTTTACTCAAAGTCTGAGTATTCTCATTACCTGTTTGGTATGGATAACACAGGGAGAAGTTACATCTTGATCACTTGTGGAAGTTCAAGAGTTCAACGTGTTCCTAAGGAGACCTAGTGAATGCGATCTCCCCGAGAAGATCTCCTTTTCTTAAAGCTCAGAGCATTATAGGAATTAAAACATGACGTCGGATTGCTGTCACAAAAGTAAGCCTTGGGGTTGCAAAGGAAGCTACAACAAAATTGCTTGGTTGAAACTATTCTGTCTCTATGGTGGATTCAATCTTGGTTGGACCTCCACCCCCAATCGCTCGTATAACGTTTAAGAATACCTAAATATTTAAAAAACTTGTATTAGATTAAAGCGTGTCAGGACCTTGATAGTTTAAATGTAAAGCACTGGGATTTGGCTAATAAATAGTACAATTTTTAGTACCATAATTTTTGTGTGAATCGAAGTTATTTCTTAGTGATGAATGAATAATCCCTTGGTAGCATGACCCAACTGGGGTACAATTAGGCTGTTATTCACATGATAACATTAACACTATTACTGGGGTCATTTGGTGTAAATCCTAATTTCTGCACTGTGCCCTATCGTCATCCGATGAAGGATACTTGTATCTCCCCCCCCCCCCCCCCCCAAAAAAAAAAAAAAAAATCAGACTGCACGTGGGGTAGAGCCCGTTCCTGTTAATGAAAATCGAGTTAAAAATCTTTTCCACGTTTTGCCTTTCAAATTTAATTCCCAAAGAACAAGGAAGTACTTGTAACAGAAGACGCTAAGATTTATTTTGTTACCATTGGGAATTCTACGGAAGAATAGTGTTATCGTGTCTCCAAGCGAACGCCTTTTTCTGTGAATCTCCGAAGAACCGATCGACCAACTCCGATTCTTGATTCATGACAGGACATCATGTTGGTTAGTAAGCGCCTCAGATTTAAAACCATGAAGATGCAGTTTATTTTTAACTCGTAAAAGAAGGATGATGGAAACCGGAATATCGAGGTTCCAAAATCTCAGTGAATAGAGCAAACACGACCCACGACCAACGAAATTTGCAAGCCTGTTTGAGAAATTGTGAACACTTGCGATTTTTTGCGCTCAAATGGAGAACGCAGCATCTTAGAACTCGATAATTTGGTTTTAATTAACTAACTTGATAACATAAATTGGCTACATTTGAGAGTTTCCATAGCTGACGTTTCTTTGCACCTTGTTGCTCGAAACGTCAGCTTTAGAAACTCTTAAGGGTGGCCAAGTCAACGTCAACTCAGTTGATAAAAACAAATCTTTTTTGTTATGTTCCCTCAGCACCACAGTTTCTTTCGAAACTCCCCCCCTCCCCTCTTCACCTGGGAACTCTACATGCCACCCTTACTTTAAAATCATTTTGTCCCTAAGGAGTTTTTCTATTTTCACTTCCTCCACGCGAAAGGAAAATCGACAATATTCATCTTGTTGCTTGGCATCGATTTGTATTCAATTTCCTCAGTTGGTGTTTGGTCTCGTCAAACATCACACTCTCTCCCGTGGGGTGGGTAGTACATTGTACGCTGCATGGCCGACCAAACAACCACTAAAGTGGAGATAAATTCAGGCTTAATTGGTGTGTTGTGCAGTTCAAAACGAGTTCCTAAGTCGAGAAAGGCAGAGTAGGTGGCGTAAGTCCCAGTGTTTCTGTGACGTATTTCTGTGCTTTAGCAGCTTCTCTGAGGGAAAATGTCTGTGCCAACTCGGCTTCTGTCCTGACCAGAGCGATCGCTTTGTTAAACAGGTCGATTGCTCTGTCCAAGTTTCCCCTGGAGAGAGAAAGCAACCACTCAATACCACAACCCTTTATACCTTACTATCAGTATGCATTTTCTCCACACTGTTCTCTATCAATTTCCTAAAGTGCTGACAAGGAGAATTTGTTCAACAATCGAGAGCTTCCTTAGTTGTTGATCATTTCATTCATTCTCCTGACCTTAATGTGTGATTCAGGGGTGATATTGTAAGGAGAAATTAGATGCTGGTCACTCCTAAGGGGTCAAAGGGTAAAAAAAAAAAAAAAAAAAGAACTACACAATATTAAGACGGAACATAACTGCGTAAACAATCTACAAGAGAAGACAGAACCATTAGGAAGGAAAAAGTAAGTAAAAAGTAACCCACAAAGGTGGTCACATGATAACAACTTACCTTTGAACTTCCAGCGTGGCCAGTGTTTCATACGCAAAATCACATTTTTTATCAATTTCTAGAGCTTCAGTAACTAACTCCACGGCTTTTTCCACGTCTTGGCGAGACTGCAACATCAACATGCTACAAAAAAGATTATAAGATATGCTGAACTTTTTCTCGCATTTTGATTGGTTCCCACGTGTGATCTATTGGAAGACAGACGCATAAATGACGTCTTCATTAACTTCATTTTATTTTTTGCGATAGTGTAGTGTAATTGTCCGGGTTAGTGTACTCCTGTGAAGGACTGTTGTAGGTAGTAGCGGCTGAGGTTTCGACAACCTGAGCGGAAGTCATCGTCAGAATCGGTCCTATCGTAATTGTAGTAAAAAAAAGTAAAGCCTTTATACGGGCCCAAGTGGCCCCTGGGGCTGGTGTTTAACTCCGGTTTTCTTAGCATGACGCGGCTAGGAGTATTGCTACTCCCCCCTGGATGGGATGCTAGTCCATCGCAGGGTTACCCCCAGCATATTTGCTGGTACCCATTTGTACACCTGGGTGAAGAGAAGTACTGTGAGAGTAAAGTGTCTTGCCTCAGAACACAACACAATGACCCCAGCCAGGGCTCGAACCCGGACCACCCGATCCGGAGTCGAGCGCACTAACCATGAGGCCAGCGCGCCTCCACTATCATAATTGTGGTCCAAGTATAATGTGGAAGACCGACTAGATACTGACCCTTTGTAAACACGGTGAACTGGATTTTGTGGCTCTAGCTCAATGGCAGTGTCAAAGTGTTCCTCTGCTTTGGGAAACTGCTGCATGTCTTGAAGCACCTGCGAGAAGGAAAGCCTTATAAATGAGTTATACAATGATCAGTCGCTAACAGAGTATTAAAGTTGATTGCCAATTAAATGCCAATAAGGGAGGGTCCCTCCGCAGAGCTTTGTGGGGAGATCAGGTAAATTTCATCGTGTCAGTACCAAAATTCTTTCACCTCTCCTTCCCCCGCTTCCACACCCGGAGGCGAAAAATAATGACCGACCCTTTAGATCTGACAGATTTGAGGCGCCATGGATGAGAATCTCTTCAGCTTTAAATTTCCGACAAACCTGCGCATAGAGACTGTGCGCATCCGCTGATTCTGGATAAGTCTCCACAGTTTTCTGCAACATATCCAGAGCTCCGTGCGCTAAGATAGGAGATTGCTGGAGAGCAGCGGACTTGTAAATACAGTAAGCGAGCTGTATCTTTGCCGGGATGAAGGAGTCGTTTAAGGATATGCACTTCTCAAAATCTTCCTTTGCTTCGTCTAGTTTCTCTGATAGGAAGTAGATCTAGAATGAAGAAGAAAGAAAAAACGTCAAGACACCGATATAAATCGTTTTTAAGAAGGTACTTTCAACTCAGCCTACAGTGCAAAAGTCGTATTAGGGCGAGACGTCACTAGCTCGCGATCGTTTATTCGACTGGTCATGTTTGATTTAGAGTTTGGGTGGACGGTGGGGGGGGGGGGGGGGGGGAGAGAAAGGGGAGAGACGAGTTTTCTATTTATCTACCCCCTCCCTTCTCCTTCCTTTTGACCATCGCACACCCCCTTAGTGCAGAAATCTTTCTATCTCCAGTCTTTCGCTGTCGTAAAAATCAAAGATAGCCGCTACAAATAAGAAAAGACTGTGACTACTTTCAACTGTATGTCGAAATTAATCCAACAGTACACGAAGCAAGTTAGCAAGCCACTAACACTGCAAAGCAGAAACACATGGAATTTCCTTTCCACAAAGTTGAGATTTACTTCAAATTCATTCAGCCTCAGTTACTTTAAGGAAAGAATCTTGGTTCGCTGACAGACTGGTCGATTTTGCAAAACGTGTATGCGTACTGTAAGATTCGCCGTCACATAAGAAAGAAGATGGACAAAGTTGCATCGGGAGTTATAGTTCTTTAAACATTTAAACCTTATGTCCAATACGATAAATGTACGGAAAACTTTTCGCATCTCGAAACGGATAATGTCCGCAGAAAAATATTCGAGCATATTTTCACGCCAAATGAAGGCTACCGTTCATTTATCTTTGTTTGGATCACACACAGATGAAAACTGTCCAAAGAAGGTAAAATGAAGGTCTAATCTGCGCACTCTCTTCTGAATCTTTAACTTTAGCACTCGATCATTACTCACCTGGCCTCTGTGATGATAAATATCGGAATTATCTGGATCAATTGATACTGCCTTGGTAAAATCTTGGTAACATTCCATTACATTACTGGCTTGTAGCTGCATGCTTCCCCTCTTGATCAGACAATTAACTTTTAGCTGAAATAAAATAAAATAAAAGTTATCAATAAGCTTTGTTGACCGAGCCTTGAGTCCAGATGGATGTATCTTCGCGAAAACTGTTTATGTAAGTTCATGAACAAGATTGGAGTCAAGGAATGAGACCAAAAAAAAAAACCAAAGATTAAGCACGCTATGAAAGACAGATGGATATCAACACAGATTTTTTTTATTAAATAAGTGAATAAATGAATAAATGGAAGGTGTCTCCTAACCAAAGTTTTAACCTTTTGACTAGCATCTAATTTCTCCGTAAAGTAACAGTCCTGAATCAAACACGAAAGTCGCAAGAATAGAGCAAATGATCGAAAACTAAAGCACCTCTTGATTGTTAAACAAATTCTCCTTGTCAGCACCTTGAGAAATTTACATAGAACAGAATGAGAGTGAAGTGTATCATCTGACAAAAAAACCTAATGACCCTAGCTGGGGGTTGGGCCCAGAGTGCTGCACAGGGTATATGAGAAGATATCTCGAGGTGGCATGTTTAAAGAGATGACTTCATTACCAAAAAAGTGTAACTAGAGACCTATCAGGGTTGGAAATCTACCTTAGTTGAGATAGTTTTGTCATCTGCATTTATCACTTGTGACAAATCATGGATTGCTTCATCTACTTTTGATATCAGGGTGTACAAAGTTCCTCTTAGTGCCAAAGCCTTTATGTAAAGTGGTCCAATTCCTAAATGAAAGAAAGAAGCCATTGGAAAAAAAGTAAGAATAACAGTTAAAAATAAAGCTGTATGGAGGCATGTATACTGATTTATCCTTGGATAACTTGAAATAAACCAATGGAACAATTTTCAATCAAGTTTCAAAAGGGATCCAAATTAAGATTTTACATAACTTTGCTCTGTGATTGGTCCAAAAAACATGCACCATCTTCTCCACCAATCAGATGCAAAACTAACCACAAACGTCACTTAGAGATTCCCATTTTCCCATTTTTTCAAGTAGTTTCCTTGTTTTCCTTTTGAGTTTTCACTGGCTAATGATGATGTGAACCTTTTTTTCAGATTGGTCCCTGAGCTAACTAAGGTTTTACAACACTCAATATTTGAAAACTTCTCTTACAACTATTTCCGCAGCCACAATTTAAGGAAAGTGTAGTTTTGCAACAAATGTTAATGATTTAACTGAGAACTGATTGAGAACTGAATATGCCATGATGGTGAAGGGTCATGACAAACTTAAGAAGCGGACATTTTCATGGTGTAATGGTAAGAGTTGTTTTCATCAACATTACCTTTCTCGATTTGCTGAGTACATAAGTCAACAATGTTTTCATATTTCTTTTCTTTCATTTGTTTAACAGCCTCAAGAAATGGTGAGTCCTCAGGTACATCTTCCAGAGAATCAACAACCACTGTGTCATCTGAAAGAAAATTAAATTACAAAATGTAATGCAGAAAGGAAGATATTGCCCAAGTTCAGTACAGACTTAAACTCCATTGTTCATGTTTAGTAACAGAGCTTGAACTTCTGTAGATTATTAACATATCTTTCCAGCAAGGTTATATATTCCTAATTTGCTGCAACACTTTGTATGAAACTCACCATTGCAGAAAGATTCCAGGTAAGCTTTAGTGTATGTTGAAGATGGTAAACTTAGTTCTCTGTTCTGCAAAGAGAAAGAATCCAACCATGACAATTCATCCATCCATAATCACTAAGAAATGTAGATGCAACATATAAATTTTGCATCACAAACCAACCAGCAATGAAATTGACTCAAAAAAAAAAATTAACTCCTACCTTGTAATACTCTTGAGCTTTCTCTTTACCAATTTCTTTCAACACTCTATCTGCCTGCATCATCCAGTTTGGATTATTAAACCCTTCAATCATGCACACTGCTGTAAGATCTGCCAGACAGGATCAGAAAGATTATCATTTCCTTTAAAATAAACACTGTGGGATATAGGAAAAAAAAACTCCTTCACTATGTATCAAACCCCATATCTTCAGATTCCAGAAGCTCTACTTCTAGGCTGTGTTGTTTAATGCACCATTACACTATGTGAGTTCATATGGGGTTACATTCAAGACATTAAAATCAAGGACAAACCTTGAAGACACTCCTCCTTTCTGTTCAGTTTTTCATAAGCTCTTGCTCTCTTCATGAATGCTTTGGAATACTTCTTATTGAGTTCTATGGCTAGAGAATTAAAAAATACATGACAGCATAGTTTGCAGATTTTTAAACCAGCTTGAAAACTGAAATAGCATATTAACCCTTTAACTCCCAAGATCTGATTGTTAATTCTCCCTTGTGGCTGTTACACATTTCCTTGTAAATTAGTTATAAGAACTTGGTGCTAGATCAAGATAGCAGCTTCTACCTGATAAGTTTGAATATTTTCATTACCTGTTTGCTGAATAATGTATGGATATTGTAGGGAGAAGTTTTATGTTAATCACTTCTGGGAGTTAAAGGGTTAAACAAGAAATATCAAAGTCGCCCGCATGGACCTATAAATAGACATGTAAGTTAACCCTTGAACCCTAAAGAGAGCAGCCTTCTAATTTCTCCTCACAGTATCATCCTTGAATCAAATGTTGAGGTCATGAGAACAATGGAAATTATCACCAATTAAAAGAAACTCCTGATTGTAAAACAAATTCTCTTTGTCATTGCTATGGGAAATGTACAAAGATCAGTGCAGAGAATATGAAGAATGATGTTTGGGTGTAAAAGTTTAAGATTCTGTTGCAGATTTCTGGAGAAGTGGGGTCCAAAGACATGTAGGTGCCAATTTTGACTAGAATTCAATGATTTACACATTTTGTTTCACACTTAGCTCTTACCTTTGGTAGCATCTGCAAGTACTTGTTCATAGTTTTTCTGTTATAAAATGTAAAACATAACTATTGTCATTACAAAACAGGAACAGTTGCGGCTCAGCTAGACGAAATCAATTAAGGATTGAGTGGAGTGTAATTTGGTTTGTACTTATACAAGTGATTGACAAAATCAGACAACTGCGTGGCATGACTCCAATTTGTCAATCATGAGTATGATTACAGACAGAATTGGATGTAACACAAACTCCTGCTACCAATTAATCAAAACTATGACCAAATTTGAGAATTTTGAGTGAATAATGTCATTAAGCCTTAGAGCCATTGGTTGAAATACTTGGGACAAAAGGCAAAGCTCTGTTACCTGTTGTTCATATGCTGCTGCTCTGTTCTGGTAGTAAGTTGCCAGCTCAGCCTTGCTGTCTTGAGGACACAGATCAATTGCCTCTGTATAACATTTAATTGCCTGCTCAAATTTTCCACCTTTAAAGTACTTGTTACCTCTCAGTTTGATAGCCTGAGCTCTTTCTGCTGGAGACTGTAGGAGTAGAAAATATTGCTATTTTTATGCTTCAATTGTTGATTTATTACTCAAAACAATGTTCCCTCTGCTGTTTATCTTAGCAGAACCTTCCTTTAAAAAAAAAGGCTTAGGGAGGACCACTTTGAGATCATATATTGTTCACCATGGGAATGGATCATGGGTTTAAAGCAACATTTAGGAAAAACTGGTTGACAATAAATTCTATGAGAAAAGGGCAAGATGCCTCCCATTCCAATAGGAAACTACAGATACGACATAATTAAAACTTTCAGTTTTCATTCTGCTTCCATTGCTCCTTCACACCACTCATTTGGATAAATGAAGACACTTTTTGCACATACATATTAAAACATAAATTTTCAAAATTTCCAGATGCACATGTGCCTACTAGGTACATGATTGCTCCACCCTTACCACACCTCTGAATGCTTTGTAACTTGTACATAGCAACATCTACTTGTTATTCAACAACTGCTGAGGCCTGAAGTTTAGGTAAGTTGGTATTGTCTATAAAATAACTTAAAACCTTTAACTCCCTGGCAGAGGTAATGAACATGTTACATATCCCTGTAATATCCATAAATCATCTAGTAAACAGGCAATAAGAATAATCTTGATCTCACACAAAATTCTTGCTACTAATTTACAAGGAAATGTATAGCAGCTAGAGGGTAGGTTTAAGAATTAGAACTTAGGAGTTAAGGGAGATAAAATTTCCGCTCAGCTCCATACTAAATTATGCATTCAGTTCTTGGATAGAGAAAACAATGACAAAAACAATACATTGCCATTGGGAAAACACATTTGTTTTACAATAGTATGGGGCTGTGTGGAAATTTTACCTTTAAGGGGTTAAATAGACACATAGGAAAACAGATTGGGAATAACTATCGATGAGTCAAACATTACTTATTTGAATCCATTAGGAAGGATGATCAAAAGGATCTATTCTAATGATTGCAAAACATCCAATTTTAACCCCTTGAATCCCACAATCTGATTTTTAATTCTTCCCTCTAGCTGCTATACATTTCCTTGTAAATTAGTAAGAGAATATGATGTAAATTTGTTTTAACAATTTCGTGTTTTATCAGGGTAACAACTTCCACCTGATAAGTTTTTATATTCTCATTACTCTTTTGCTGGATAAAGAATGGATATCGTTGAGAAAAGTTACAAGTTCATCGTCTCTGGGAGTTAAAAGGGTTAAGAGAGGGAGGGGTGAAGCAGTATGTTGCCCAAGACAGAGTCCACTTGAGGGGTGGTGAGCTGAAACAAGGATTTTTTGACTAATTATTTTTCTCACACACACCATATTTTCCTCGCTCTCAGGAGCTTCATTTTTAGGCACACCGCTTGTACTTGTGGTTGTGTCAACTTCTTCTCCTTTTTCTGGATCTTTTTGCTCTGAGCTCTGTGAGGACCTCCAATAGTATAGGGCACCTAAAACGCACGCTGCGGCAATGGGCGCACCGATAAGGGCCGCGATCTGCCACTTTGAAAGGCCTCCACCTGTTTCTTGTGTACTCATGATCGACTATTCGAACAAAGTTAACCAAACAACTAAAAGTTTCACGAAGTCAGCATTTCCGAAGCCATTTTGGAATTTTGCGCACGTGTGCGTTTGAACGCATAAATTTTTACTGTCAGCACTGACTAACAAATAATGCAGGCTTCTACACGCTCTGCTAGGTTACCAAGGAGCAAGATGGCGACGGAAGTATTGTGATCTCGCAGCAGCGTTTTATTGAGATATTCTAAATGTCGGGGACACGTTTGACAAGGAAGGTTACGGTAGAAGGAAGTAAGAAGCTTCCAGAAGGAAGTAGCCAGAGTTCGTCATCGAGCTCAGGAACCAGGCGAAGTGTTTTTGACAGACTAGGTCCAGGGACAAGCGAAGTGAGTGACTATAAAATCATGCGAATATTATTTGAAATCTTGTCGGTTTATTTCGTAACCGAATGGAATGCTTGTGTTTCCCCGCCGATTGCTTGGAACGATATAAAAAAACAGCTGTAGTGATCTCCTTCTTAGGAGCCAAAGTTTCCCAAAGTGACTCCTTTAATTGAGAATCAAAGGAAGAGTTTACTAGTGATAAATTGATTAATAACATGTGTGTATGTGTGGCTGTCAGTCACTATTTAATCCTCTAACTCTTAAGATCTGACTGTTAATTCCTCCCCCCTTCCCGAGCTGCTTCAAAATTCCTTGTAAATTTGTTTTGAGAATTTGGTGTTAGATCAAGATGACAGCTTCTACTTGATAAGTTTGAAAGTCTCGTCACCTGTTTGTTGGATAATGAATAAATATTATAGGGAGAAGTTATATGATGAGAACTTGAGAGTTAAAGGGTTGACAAAGTCAATAAGTGGGAAAGATTTTTAGAAAATAGGGGGCTGAAACTCAAGCAAATTTCATTTAAGATTTACTAATCAGATGGGATTTCCTAGACTAGCAAAATGTTGACTATAGTCAGCATGATTTGAGCTCAAGTTCAGTCTATTAATTAAGAGTTGAACACTCCCCTGCCCTATTATTTATATAAAAAAGAAACACAATGAACCTGGCCTGAAACAGAGGGAGAGGAACCTAAATAATTAACTAGCAAATGTATAAAAGAAAGATTACACGCCCCAAGTTTAACAGTGACTTGTATTGTTTTCAGGATACAATGTAGGTAGGTAAACTTTTTTGAAAAGTCCTTTAGGTAAACATTAGCCTCTTAACCCTTTATACCTTAACATCAGTATGTATATTCTCCAAAATATTCACTATACATTTTCTGAGGTGCTGACAAGGAGAATTTTATCCAATGAGCCAGGTTCGTTAGTTGGTGATCATTTCCTTTATTCTTGTAACCTTGATATTTGATTCAGAGGTGATAGTGTAAGGAGAAATTAGATGCTAAGAATTATTAGGGCTCAAATGGTTAGGGGAATTGATGAGCTCATTGATGAAAACTTTATAAATGAGAATTACACACAGGTATGAATCGTAAGGACCTCTCTTTCTTTGCACTTTTTCTTGTTTGTGGGTCAAATATGCAAAGTCAGTCTAAAAATGTGACTAGTATATAGATGTCAATACTTAGTAGTCTGTATTTTTTTTTTTTTATACATAGCGTTCAAGATCTAGAGAGTCATATCCTCCTGAAAAATGTAGAAACTGGTTGCGAGATGGAAGATGTCAATTTGGAAGAAATTGTAAATTTCTTCACGGACCATTTTCTGAACCAAAATCAAGAACTAAGAGTGTCAGAAGCATTGTGAGAACTGATGTTGACAGGTATGATTTTTGTAGTAACATTGAAGTAAAAGCTAAAAATTGTGTGTTTCTTAGTTTGACTAAAGTTTGCAGTGAAAAAATTAGAAAAAAATTAGAATCGTACTTTGGGATCACTTGCAGATTTAAGTGTGTAAAAGGAAGTGTTTTTTCTGGTTATGAACATTGACAGATTAATACTAGGGTACATAAATAGCTATACATATACTAGGATTGCATTCTTGCTGATAATCTAGTTGTTTAACCCTTGAACTCCCATGAGTGACCAAAACAGAGTTTCTCCTTACAATATCAATACAATATCAGGTGGACAAGCAATGAGAATAAAGAACAATATCAATTAGGGGATTATTAGTTGATCCGGTACCAAATTCTCTGAACTAACATCACAAGAATTATATAGCAGATAGTAAGGAGAATTACTAATGAGATCTTGGGAGCTTAAGTGTTAAATAAACTTTTGAATATTTATTTGGTTGTTTTTAATCATTCAACAACCAACACATGTTTCTTGCAAGGGAGTTTTTAGTAGATTGCTTTCTATTCAATGGTGAACTCTTTGTTATAATCAGGGTCTCTGCTTATATGCAAGAGTTTTCAAGGATTTTTTTTTACAAGCTTTAGCCCATGGCCAGGTCTCATAAGTTTGGGGTCTTGCATAGCTCAAGGCCTCATAATTTCCTGAGGGTGATGTAACACTCATGCCATAACTCTAACAATGAGAGCCTGCTGTCTTGCTCTGTAAGGGTGAGGTAATTTAGTATTATCAACTGAGTTGGCGACCGTTAAGAGTTTCAAATCTGACATTTTAAGTGATTGCCCTTTGTCATTCATTCTGAGGAAGGGCAAACAATCAAAATTTCAGTTTTGAAACTCTTTACCATGACCAATTTGCATTATCAACTCAGTTGATAATATTAAATTACCTTGTTCTACTCTCCCATTGATGCAGCACCACAGTTTCTTTAGAAACTTACCCCCTTTGTGCTAACTAACTTTCTTTTTCACTCTTTATCTTTACCAATGATGTGATGCTGGTCTTGGTATAAACAGATCAGAAGGAGGTAAGAATTGTTGCAAATTGCTGTAGATTTTCTTTCAATTGTTCCTGTAATTTTGATTTGGGCATATGTGTATGCTGCAAGTAGCAGAGAGGCTGTAGAATTCAATGGTCTGATTATGTTAAACAAAGTTTAGTCATTGTTTAATAAAACTGCATCCTAAACAATCCCCAGTTTAGCTGACCTTTTATTTGAACATTCATTTTGGTGAACAATGTTAAGAGGGCCAAAGTTAATTAACCCTTTCAGTCCCACTAGTGACCTAGACAGAATTTTTCCTTATATTATAAGCACGATATTAAGTAGCCAAGTAATGAGAATAAAGAAAAATATCAATTAGGAGATTATTGGTCGTTCCAATTTCAAATTCTCCAAACAAACATCACATAAATTGTATGGCAGACAGTAAGGAGAATTATTCATGAAATCTTAAGAGTTAGAGGGTTAACAAGGGAAGGACATTCATTTACTTAGATCAACCCTCTTATTGTGAAAGACTGAGGCCTAGTTATTGTGTAAAACTGTGGTTTGGGTTACCAGGGTAGACCTCAGGTAAATAACTGGCCCAGAAGGCCACAACTGATTGAAAGAACCTTTCTTATTTTATTATGGTAGCATTGGAGATAATCAAAGAGGTCAATGTATATTTGTGAGCTTATAATTTGATGTGACATTCATGCATATCATGATTGGAGCAAGGCACTCTGAAATCAATTCTCTTGCCAAAGAACACAATACATTAAGCCCTGCAACTACTTTGCCATTATACTTATTTGAAAATAAAACAACTACAACAACCACAAAAAAACTGAAAGAAGTACAATGGAGCACAGAATATAAAAGAATTATTTTATGAAACATTACTACTTATTTCCCTTTATACTCTAATATCAGTATGTATATTCTCAATACTGTGCTCTAAAGGTTTCTTATAGTATTGGCAAGGAGAATTTGTTGAACAATCAAAGCTTCATCAACAGAGTGGCTGTATCCTCACAACTTTTAATGTTTGATTCATTAGTGATAATGTACTGAGAAATTATATCCTAATCACTCTTAGGGATTAAAGAGTTATTTATATTTTACCAGATTATTACATTAATTATCACCGGTATTTCATTTTCTCCAAGATGATAGTGCCATTACTGTTCGAACTCAAAGTCTTGATAGTTTAGAGCCTGATGATGATGATGAGAAAGAAATTTCAGTTCTGAAAAAGAAGAAACATAGACCTCTGGAGGAATCCTCTGAGCCAAGCAAGAAAAGTGAGAAGCTAAAGAGACGACAGCAGATTGATCAAGACTCATCTCAAGGTAAGGGTTGTTTGATTCAAATAAGCAGGAGCATTTTTTTCGTTTTGAAGACTGAATTTTTATAACACATCTCTTTAAGTAATTTACAGCGCGTTTTGTAACGTGTCTATGAAGGTAACTGACAGTACCACCTAAATTGCAGGGGCCACTTGTCAAAGGAAACGAATTAACCCTTTACACCCTAACATCAGAATGTAGATTCTCCATACTGTTATCTCTAAATTTCTCAAGGTACTCAAAGGAGAATTTGTTCAACAATCAAGAGCTTCTTTAGCTGACTATTATTTTCGTGACCATAATGTGTGACCAGGGATGATATTGTAAGGAGAATTTAGATGATAGTCTCTCCTAAGGTTCTGGCTTTGGTTAATTGTCTGATCGGCCAGTTTCGTTATTTCGGAATCGTCATAGAACTACACTTCTAAGTTTAACTTTTCGTTACAAAATAGAGACTTTCGTCCGTTTGTTTATTATTAATTGTTTTTTCTTAATCAAAAATCAGGTGAGGGGGACGATGGGGATGACCACCGGAAACGAAAAAAGAAAGTGAGAAAGCGTCAACTCAGCGGTGGAGTTGTCATCACCAAGCCCGAGAGTCCAGAGGAAGAGGAAAGGGACTGGGGAGACGAAGATTACGAGGAGGAACGTAGCGATTTGGAGTGGGAAGAGCGGGGTGAGCTGGACTACGAGCGGCAGCTAAATTTAGAGAAGAGACGACAAGATCTTCAACGCCAGCTGGCTCTTATGGACGAAGAGGACGCCAAGAGGGAGAAGGCCGAACGGAAGGTGAAAGATGTGAAGAAAGAGAGAGATGAAGACCTCAAACCTGCGATTCCCGTGGTTCATAGCAAGCTGCACCCAGAGAAGTCGTCCGTATCTCCTGCAGATGAGTTTTCACCAGTCTCCTCACAGTCGACTCCGAAGAAAAAGAAGAAAAAGGCGGATGGGGAAGGGAAGAAGGTGAAGGCGAAACGTAAGATCTCTCCGTCAACAAAAGAGCTGAAAAAACGGAAAGGTGTTAAACCAGCTGCTGGAGGTTCAAATGGTGGGATTGTGGAGGAAAGACCTCAAAAAGTGACAGATGTATCACCCGAAAAGCCTAAAGCATCTGTTCGAACGCAGCCTGAGTTTGAGGAAACAGCTACAGAAAAGCCACGGGTCCCAAAGAAGAAGCAGGTGAAGCCCAAAAAAAAAGAAAGCCAAGTAACCAGGAGTTCTGGGGATAGTTATTTAAGTCCCACGGGTTCCTCTGGGCAAATACCTCCGCGAACTCTTCCACCGGAGGAGATTCCAAGGGAAAAGAGATCACCTACTCCGGAAGAGCAAAGGGTACCTGTGGAAAAACTGCGTCGTAGAACAGCTCTATCGTCTCCAGAAGGCTCTAATTCTCCAGCCCCTCCCTACGGCAGCGAGAGCAGGACTCGCAGGAGCACGGACCCTTCCGACGGAAGTCTTCGAAAAACTGTTCGTGAGGTCCACAATAACGAGCCGCCGGGAGAAGCAGAACACAAAGTAAAAGTGAAAGGCCACGAGAAGCCTTACAGAGAAGAAAGATCGCCTGGTACACCAGAACACGGACGAAGAGTAGTGGCAATAAAAGATACACGTCATTTGGAGGAGGGAAGGAGCGAGAGACGAAAGAAAGTTGTTGAGGAAGAACCACCGCGCAGCCCATCTCCCGAAGATATCCCCGCTCGGGACCCTATCACACCACCCGGGGAACAGCGTAGACATAGGACCACACCGCCCAGGGGAGACAGACGAGGACCACAGACTCCTCCGGGTGAACCTGATTACGATGACGCACCAAAGCAAGGCTCAAGTGACCGGGGTGCCCCTCGGCACCGTGGACCCTACACTCCACCTACCCCTAGCAATCCCCCGGTGCGCAGTCGAGATGAAAGAAATCGCGAAGAATTTCACGACGGGAGATCTGAGTCGCTGCCTTATCGCGAGGAGGCGTCTGTGCCTCGAAGCAAAGAGCGACCTGAACGTGATACCAGGTACTCAAGACAGAGGGGTGATGATGGGGTCGACGACATGTCGCGAGGTAGCCGAGGTCATGCTTCAGTAGACGAAGATTATCCGAGGGCCCGACTTCGAGACGAAGAACCTGGCAGACTAAGACATCGCAATGAACGTCAGGACGACTATCACCAACGCAATCGCCCAAAAGATGACCGAAGCGACGACTTTTACCGAGCTCGAGATCGTGAGCCAGATCGAAGTGACGACCATTACCGAAGCCGGGCAGAAGAGCCCCGAGGCGGTGAACCACCACGCAGGAAACCTGAGGTAGACGAGGAATATCTTCGAAGACGCGAAGATCGCGATGAAGATCATTTACGTTCCCGCAATCGAGAGTTAGAGAGAGACGAAGAACGTTCGCGACGGAGAGACGATCGCAGTGACGACCATCAACGAGGCCGTGTCCGTGACGAGCACGAAGATGACATGCAGAGGCCCCGAGGTGGGCGTGATTTTCCCAGGCGTCCGTTCGAAGGGGGAGATGAAAGACACTGGGAAGGGCGCGGTGAAAGAGACAACAGAGAGGTGCAGTTTAGCGACCGGGATAGAAGGAGACCGGATATGCCTCGGCAAGACATATCTGATAAGTAAGTAATTAATTTTCCGCTGTGTTGTCAGTGAGGTTTTAATTACTGTGCACTTCAAGTCATTTACAGACGTTGAGTTTGTCCTTTACTTTACAAGTTTTTCCGTCAATTTTATGACCGATTAGTCATCGCTTTATTTCCAACAGAGAGTATCTAACTGCCCAACCTGGTTCAACCTGGCCAATTCAAGCATTGTTTTTTGGTCCCAAAACGTACACTTAAAACGAGCTATGTTCTTTGTTTCAGCCGCAGCCGTGAAAGAGCCGGAGAGAGACCACGTGACAGAGAAGGTCGTTATCCACCGCCTGGGCCTGGGCCTGACTATCACAGACGTTCGCCTCCCATCCCCCACGGCTCACGTCGATCACCTCCACCCCATGGACCTCCGCGCGGGCCGCATCGGTTTGAAGAGCGAAGACGTAGTTTATCTCCAGGAGGACGCAGGGAGGAGGGTTATCGCCAGGGTCCTCCACGAGACCAAGGCGGTTATGGTATGGGACGTGAGTCAGCGCATGGGAGAGGGGGGCACTCCGCGCCTTTCGAAAACCGCGGTCGACCCGTCGAGAGTAGAAGAAGAATTTCACCCCCTCCTAGACAGTATGCAGAGCGTGGCCGAGGTGCCCCGCGAGGCAGAGGAATCAGAGGTGAGCAGACCTCTGATATATGCAATAGATGATGTTTGTTGTTTATGAGAAGTCTGAGATAATAACCGACAGGCCCTTGGGTGTCGAGATAGATGCTTGTCTCGGGTATTTTCCGGGAATTGGAAACTTTATCACAAGTAGTTGATTAGTTATATTAGTGTGTTGAGGGATCGTTTTAATTTCCTGTCTTATGTCATTTGGTGATCTCACCATTCTCACTGATCAAGAAAATTTCTGTGCTTGGCTGGTTGCCCCAACTTTGTGCCCTGTGTCCCTTTCACTTTGCGCAAGAACGGCTGATTAACTGCTTTTAATCACTATGCTACGATGCCACCACCTTACTACCAGGGTAGTAACTTGGTGGTGTGCTTTCAGGGTTTCATAACCAAGTTGTCTCACAAAAGTTACAAATAACCACGTAGGCCAGCAAGTCCCGGTGCAATGCGGCATTTTGTAATAACGACGCATTTTATGTTAACTTACGCATTTTGTCTCACTATGTAAGAGTCAGGCTAATAAATCGCGTATTGAAAGTTGCGTTTCGACTGCTATACTATTGGTCTTTGTCAGGCGATGAGGTCGGGCAGAACGCTCGAGTGAACCGCCATTCACCAAACCACAAACTAGTCTGCTGTTTCTTGTGTTCACAGTTTTCTGACTTTCATAGTGTTCCTAAATTTCCCTCTTACGTTTAATTTGACCGTAGGGGGCCGAGGTTTTCCCGACAGAAGTCGGCCGCCAGGGGACCGGTACCAAGACCCTCCTCGTGATAGAGCGGCGCCATGGGATCCCGAGCGCCGACGTGAAAGAGATCATCCACGCGACCGGAATCGTCCGCACGACGAATCGCGTGATCGGGACAGACGTCCGAGAGGTGAACTGTCTCCAGGCCGAGGTCCAAGACACTGGGAGGATAGGAGAGCTGGTAAGTGCATTTTATTTTTTATATCTAATGCAATAATAAATATTTTAGACAATTAGTAATAGGTAGTTTTTAATATTTTCAATTTAGAAAGCGCTGCGTCTGTTTATGATAAAATTTTATTATTACTATCTCTGTTTCTTTTTTACAAATGGTAAAACTTTTCGCGGAAAAAGAGACGTCGGAATGCCAATGGTTTTTGTGCTTGTAGTACATCACTTTCATTTTTATTGAAGAAAATGTGCGAGAGCAAACTTTTCCAATCCCTTGTGATCGAGATTGTAGATTTTAATAATAATAGTAATAACAACAATAATAACAATAATAATGACAATAATAACAATTACAACGATTAAGATTTGGAAAGCGCAACTCCATGTAAGCATGATCGAGACAAAAGTTGGGATTCCCGCGAGTTCACCTTGATTTGATTCCCGTTTGATTGGGAAGATAATTTATTTTCTGGTAAGGTCGCATGGATTTGCTCTAAGGTTATTTTGCGTAAGGGCGTCTGCAAGTTTATTTAGCGTGACAATATTCGCCTGTTGGAGTTCCTCCATGAATATGCTTCCCTTACGCGTCACTTATTTAAGAGGGGAACATCCTGACAGATGAGCATTTGGTCGATCAATCCCAAGCGGTAATCTCTGACAGGTTGTGAAGTGGTTAAGTAGGGAGTTTAAGATGTCACTAGGGCGATGTGTGGGAAAACGTTGCCGAAAACAAAGATCCTTTTCCACCAAGAGTTTCGCCACTATCTCGATGCGTTTACCGTTTTCAACAATACAACATATTCCCTTCGGCATGACATGAGAAAGTTGTGTTGAATTCAAGGTAAAAGCATGAATAAACTGCTGTCCAGGTTTCCTTGCTTAGAGGACGTAAAGGTGATTTCATGCCTCACATGGGACGGCTAAGAAATGATCGAAGTTTGAAACGCACGGGCAGCGCTATGGTGTGCTCATTAGATCTCTTGTTTGCTAAATTCTCGTTGCCGTCGCCATCGTGGTAGTCTTTAAGTCACTTATGTTTTCATCCAAGTGAATCGCCCTCTTTATTCCTTAGGGAGCCCGGGACGAGTCGTTAGCCCATCGCGCGACCGCCGTACGCATGAGCAAGAGAAGATACCGCGTGAAGCAGAGGAAGAGCGCAGGCGTCGTTCGGACGAAGAAGAAGATGAAGAATGGGAATACGAAGAAGATTTAGGAGACGAAAAAGATAAGATACCACGACAAGGAGAAAGGTAGGAGGTGGTACTTAATTTCCTCTTCATCCGCAACGAATATAGACTTGTTTCGCGCGCATTAACCCCATGGGGGTTGACATCTTAAATCCAAGGGACGCACCAATATTTTATGGGGGGGAGGGGCGGGAGCAGGGGAAGTTGTTACGATTAAATTTTTTTCACGACGAGCAGTTTCGTTCAAATTCCAATCTCTCTTTTCTGCTATAAAGATCCGTCGCGCTTTTCTTTTCAGTTTCTGTATCGTTGATCGATATCGAAATGGAATTAAGCACCCCACCTACCACGTTCTTCTTTACTTGTTTTGGTTTAATGTTCGAAAGGAGTGGGGAGCCATCTTCACTGAATAATCGCTTTCATTATGTTTGCTTACGATATACAGAAAAAGACCTAGAGAAACAGGCTCGTCCATATCAACCATCGAGTCGCCTGCGGGAGGGAAAAAGCGCCGAAGTGAAACCCCTGAGATGGAAGTAACGCCAGGAGGGGAGGTGCCCGAAGGAGTCGTAAAACAGGATGATTATGAGAAGGACGTCATTGCCGCAGCTCCCGTCAAGCAAACCGCAAAACCTAAGAAAAAGAAGGTGGGGAAAAAAGGGAAAGGTCCAAAACCTGACGGTGAACCTGATGTTGAAACTCAAAAACCACCAGAGCCGCCTGCAGAGTCAGAGGAATCGCCGGAAGGTGAGAAGCCTTTTAAGGTTGAGAAAAAGCTGAAGAAAGAAAAAGGAAAGACAAAAGAGAAGGTGACGAAAAAGAAGAAGAAGAACATCGGTGTGGTGGCATCAGAGCCCGGACTGGGCCCAGAAAAAACCGAAGAGCCAACGAGCGTGACGGAAGAAAGTGGGGTAGCGTCGTCGGAAAATCTTGGAGAAGTAACACAACAGTCCGAAGAGGAACTGATTCCAAAGGTGGCTAAAAAACGCCGGCATCCAGTTGCTCCTGATGGGGAGGAAACGAAGATGAAGGGTGGTGATAAACCACCAAAGAAAAAGAAAAAGAAGAAACATCAGCCCGAGGTTATCGTTCAACCTTGGGCTGACCTTGAAGACGAGGATGAAGAAATGGTTCAATACAAGTCCGAAGGTAACGAGCGCCAGGGTAGTGTCAAGGGTAGTCAGTTTGGACAGGTTGGGGACATCGACGAGAATAAATCGTCAGACACAGTTGCAGATGGAAGGAAGGAAACTGGAGATGCTCCCAAAGATGAGGAATCCGTGACAGTGTTCAGTGATTGGAGCGACGATAGTCCTATCGGAGACGACGCGTGGTCAGATGTTAACGAACCGGAGATTTCTGAGAGGAAACCGAAAATCAACGATAAGGAACGCGCAGCTACAATGTCACCAGTTCGGAATGAGGCGCCAACATTCGACGATGTTTACGACCCAATAAGCGACGATGAACTTGACGCCATGTTAGGGGACGACGATGAGGATGCCAGAGCTGGGGTTTCTGATAGTAAAGGTCCATCTAGTGCTCCTATGGCGGTTGAAGACGTTGATTGGAGCGCGTTGGTCTCTGCGCAAAACACCTCAGACAAAACAGGTACGTTCTTTTACCTTGCAAAAGCACAAAACGTTTTGGACTAATATTAGCTTATCTGATGTTATCGTAATTTTACGGCGATGCACCTGCTACATGGTGGAAAAAGCTGTGGCCTTTATGGCTGGTGGGTAAGAATGTGGATGCCGGAAAGGTCCCGTTTTGAGCCCAGGCCGCCAGTGGTTATTACGTTATGTTGTTAGACAAGGCACTTAACTGTCACAATGTCTCTTTCCACATAGAAGTATAAATGGTTTCCGGCGAACTGTGTGAAAAACCTGCGATTTACTGTATTTAGCATTTCTGTAACCCTTTAACTCCCATGGGTGACCAAGACAGAATTTCTCCTTACAATATTAATATAACATCAAGCAGACAAGCGACGAGAATAAAGAAAAATATCAATTTGGGGATTATTAGTTGATGCAATACCATATTCTCCAAACTAACATCATAAGAATTGTATAGCAGATAGTGAGGAGTATTACTAATTAGATCTTGGGAGTGAAAGGGTTAAGGATTATCTTTACTCTTGATCGCTTTTTGCTAAAGCAACCGAGACATACACCAACGGTGTTGATCACTTGGCTTGCTGACCTGAGAAAATTTCCTATGGATTCCTTTCTTTCATTTTAGGAGAAGAACCCGGAGCTCACTTAAAGCGCTTTACACCAGGTCACGTGTTCTCACGCATTGGAATCTCTTCGTCGCTTGCTGGTCCGCGGTTAACCAAATTGGTGCAAAAAGCGTACGCTGAGGTGGCAAAAGATAAACCTTCAGTGACGGAGACAGGTGACACGAGTGATGTCGACGATGGGGGTGATTCAAGAGTCATAAACAGTATTGGTGCGCTGGTGGCAGGTGCGGCTGCCAAAAGGCGCGAAAGAGGGACGTTATTCACGGACGTTGGACCTTGCAGACGTGCACTGTGCGCCCGTATGGATCTGGCGATGAGAAAGCGACTGAGGAGGCTGACTGGCAAGGTTGGTTAAGACCTGCACCTTCATAGTTTCTAAATTAACACAATGTAACGCTAATTACCCCAGTTGTTTAAGACAGGAGACATAAAAAGAAGAAGAAAAAAATAAGAAGCTTTGAGCACTCCTCTATGCTCCATCTCAAGGCTCATTTTATATCTTGTGTTGTTTATTCTTTCCTAGGTCGGTCTTTTCCAAGTGCCATCATCCGCCCCAGTCGACAACGAACTTTATTCCATGAGCGTGGCCTTGTACAAACACGAACATTCTGCCATGGACTCTTCTGTGACGAAGTTAATCCCCTCCAGGGTGGGAGCGGTGCTTGCCACAGTGAATTCTTAAGATTCTTAAGCTAGGTTGCTTAAACCACATTTGCTGGTCTGGGCGTCAATTAGGAAAGTGGCCAGTTTTTAACTATGAAAGATAGCTCAGGTACTACATTATACTAACAAAAAATACTCTTACTCAAGAACTAGATTATTGTCCGTTTGTGAAATAAAGTATGCCAATATTACAGTTATGACTTGTTTTTGCATTCTGATTGCATTTGTGCGATAAAGAGTAACAAGCACAACGACTTTACGGAGTCAAGTCGGACCGTCTCGCTCATAAACGGAAACTCGCTTGTGGCCTGAATCAGTGCTCTCTTGTGAGTAGGGCCAACTGTGTTCACGTTTTTGTGTGGACTGCTCGCGAGGTCCGTGAGGGTTGAGCTAAGTGCGAGGATATCTTTTGATCTGATAATCCAGGCCGAGGGTAGTTCCAGAGGGGATTGTTGCCGGTTATAGTGACTTGCGTTCAGAGAACCTCAGTGGAAGTCGTCATGAGAGTCAACAGTCCTTTCCTGAACCACTCTCTGCTTGTCAATCACCCTACACGATCGACTGTTATTCTCGGACTTAAACCCTTTACACTTTTTTCGGACACTTTTGCAGAGTTAATTTTAATTCTTCTGGCCTTGAACCGGTAAAGAATTCCAACTTGCTTGTACTTATACGCGGAATAGCCATATATATGTCTGATACACGTCGAAAGCAAAAGTATTTCTCAATACGATTTAAGGAACAAGAAAAAAATTTAATTTCTATTTGTTCATGAAAGATAAGAACACATTGATGAAACTAACGAGAGATTTTGGCAACAACAACAATTTTTAATTTTAACAGGGGTCCCGTACTTTAACTATCTGACCAATCACAGCGTGTTTTTAAAATAACTGCTAGACACGACAAACTGTGGTGTACTGGGGGGGGGGGGGGTCGCATGGTTTCATAGGGAACGGAAGGGGGGTCAGTCGCTGTCAACAGAAGACAAGTCTAAGAGGGCGATCTCGGGCTCAGAGTGAGCTCGGCTCCAGGTCAGCGGTATGGTCACTTGTCAACTTTGCATCTGAGCCGTGAGTGTGCCAGCGGTACACAATTTCGCGCGTAAACACTAGTAGTAAATTTGGGGAGATAAAAATTGTACGAGAGCGAACCGACACTATTTTCGAAACAATGCCAAGAAACATTCAGAATGACAACAAAAAATCCAGAGAAGTAAATCAGTGGGTATTCATTGCCCCAGGTTTGTAATTATACCCTTAAAAAAAATGACAACTGTCGTAAACCATGGCCCTATCAGTCGAGATGCCCTACAAAACAAGAAGATCTTGCATGTCTGTCTTGTGCATTTCCCCATTGGATTGATGCTCGAAAGAAGATCTGTGTTGATTCATCCATCGATGCATTCCTTTTATATGTGCATGTTCGCATTTGTAGAAGATGCCGTTTGTGGTCAAGAACGCGATGAATCAGAACCTGTGTTCATAAAGATTCTGCATCCTCGCACAGGTAATATAATAATACCTTCATTGATCGTGCTGAAAATCGCCCCGTCAGTTTGGTCACCTGGTCAAACACTTGAAATCACAGCGGCAAATCTACACTGTCAACGCAGTTAATAAAAGCAAATCAACTAATAGTACCCCCACCGAGGCGACACCACGGTTCCCTTAGAATCAAAACCCTTTTTATATAAAATGCAGTCATAATTGGGGTTTTCTTGTATATTTGTATGATAGAGCTGTCTCCACCCTTACATTGAGACATAGCTCTTGTTGTGACTTTTTCCACATACTGCTACAATATATTTCTTTCATCTCAGCTTTTCTTGGGAAGCATAACATTATTTCCTATTTCCATTTCACTTAGAGATCCCTGCCTCTGGAGGCTGTTTTGGTACACTTTCTTTAAGTCTTAAATCTGCCCAAATTATAGTATGAAATTATCACTTGTTATTGATAGGTCTGTGACACTTGTGGATCCCATGCACTAAACTTGCATTCTGGCAAAGCTGTGTTTACTGTAATAGTGCATGTACATAGTTTGAACTGTGTTCCATTAGAGAACCAATATCTTTAAAACTTGATTTGACAGAACCATGGTTTTGACTCCTGGAATTGTTTCCTTACCTAGTTTAAAATTTTATAAAAAGCAATTTTGCAAGACTTGCATTGAAGCTTAGGTTTGTTGTTGAAGCTTAGACACTTTCAGTACTCTGCTCACTTTCAGGTATGGAACAACAGTTTTTGCTCTCTCACAGTGGGGAAAAGATCTTTGAGGTCTTGAAATTTACCGAAGAACCCAGATCATGGTTTATAGAGGACTCTGTACAAAAAGGTATTGATAAACAAG